CAACAGGGACAGAAGCACTGTGGACAGCCTCAGGACAGCGGAGGAGGGCGCACGGCAGGAAGTCCTGTAAGCTGGAACTATCCTTTCTGAATAAGGCTGGGCCTTGGGCCTCCATCCAGCATCCTCCCCAGGATCATAGGATCCCTGTAACAAACACATCTTCACAACCACTATTTCTCTAGGACTCACGGAGCACAGGCTCAGGATCTATCCACCCCTCCCTGACAAATCTTAAGAAACCTAAGTTTTTAAAATCCAGGCATCTCCCCAATCATGTCACAACCTCCAGCATGTACACCCCAGCCTGCAGAGTGTGGCTGGCTGGATGAAACTAGAAGGTAACAGCTGTCACTGTGCTGGGAGGGCAGCTGGGGTCACCTTTTACTTGACTGTCTGGAGTTTTCTCTTCTTCAGATGTCAGCATGGTTGGCAAGAACAGAGAATGCTGGGTGAGCATCATGTGGAGCACGGGAAGTTGGACAAGCTTTGTGTGCACAGGGCTTTCTGAACTATACAGCAGTTTTGTGGCATCAAGCAGAGTCTTCAAAAAGGTGAGGTCCTGGTACCGAAACCTGAGTGACAAGTCAAAGGGAAGAGTGTCATGAAGAGAAGTTCATTTATTTATTTATTTAAAGGTTTATTTATTTATGTATTTTATGTATATGAGTGCTCTATTTGCATGTATGCTTGCATGACAGAGAAAGCATCAGATCCCTCTATAGATGGTTATGAGCCACCATGTGGTTGTTGGGAATTGAACTCAGGACCTCTGGAAGAGCAACAGCCAGTGCTCTTACCTGCTGAGCCATCTCTCCAGCTCAAGAAGTTTATTTTTTAAGAAACAACGTTTGTGCTTAGAATTCCAAAAGTTCAGAGCTGAGAATTTTACAGTAGTTGTATATACATTCATCATCTGGTTCTGTCAGTGACATGGCTTTGTACTTGTTTAATCACAGTCCTATCTGTCCACCATGACAGAGATCAGTAACCCACATCATGAGGAGATTTTTGTCATAATATAGACATCACAGAATGGACTGACACAGACTAAGACAGCTACATTAATTACTAGGAGCCGTAACCTCATGTGGGACAACCATCACATATATGGTGATCGTTGACCAAATCATCTTAGGTAGCACATGGTTCAATTTTCTCTGCGGCACAGACATCAAAAGAACTCTGTGTAGCTGAGCCAGCAGGCAGCAAACCTGAGAGGGAGGACAGTGCCCTACAGTGGATTCTGCCAGGTCAGCTTTGGTCCTGCAGTCATCTAAACGACCCCAAATTATGACTTCAATCCCTTCAAAACTCACTAAAGGAAGAGATCCATGAAAAATCCCCATAGCTCCATGTGAGCACTACTATGTCCCTACGTTTGTCATGAAGAAAAGAAGTTCTGTGCTGCACTGGGGAGAGGGAGGCTAGGCAGGGGCTGCATAGGAGACAGTGAGAGAAGCTTCATCAGCTTCCCTGGACATGTCGAGGAAAAACGCTGAAGCAGAGGAGGTATCATGGTGCACACCTGTAATCCCAGTACTTGGGAAGAGGGTTCAGACTTGGGGGCAGCATGGGATCCATAGTGAGACCCTGTGTCAAAGAGCCAAAAAAAAAAAAAAAAAAAAAAGAAAAAAAAAGAAAAAGGAAGAAAAAAAAGAGGAGGAAGAGGAAATAGTGGTAGTGGTGGTGGTAGAGATGGATGGCGGTCAATAACCTGGACCCATCCTTCGCTTCTTCTGTGTGACCTGTGACACTTTCTCTGAATGTTGGACATCATAATGTTCAGGAAGTGAAGATTATAGGCACCATACATCATTCCACGGCTCTCCGAAAACCCAAACTGGAGTCTGACCTCAACAAGTATGAGTGAGGTCACATGAACTCTCACACATTCCCTGCTGGGAGCACAAAGTCACTCAACTTTGCTCATCTAAAGGCAGCAGGGCCCCATCAGCACCATATGTAAAATGGGTGTTACTATGCCCAGACATGTCCCACAGACATGTCATTGCAGGGGCCATAAGGGTGGGGAGGGCTCAGGGAATAGCCTACATGTCCACCAGCAGGGAATGGCTAAATAAACCAATGTACAGTGGTTCTACACAGTGGTGAAAACTGAAGACTTTTAGATCTGTTTTTAATTAAAAATATTTGCGTTTTAAAAAATTAAGATGCCCAGTGGTAGTGGCTCACACCTTTGATCCCAGTACTCACGAGGCAGAGGCAGGTGAATTTCTGAGTTTGAGGCCAGCCTGGTCAATAGAGAAAGTTCCAGGACAGCCAGAGGCTACATAGAGACCTTATCTTGTAAAACCACACACACACACACAAAGCGAGAATAATCATAAAAAAATAGGACAAAGAATGACATGAATGTTCACAATATCAAACACATACAACATAAACTGCTATGGATACACTGCCACAAAAGGAGCTATGGCTACAGCTCAGCGGTCTAAAGTACTTGCCTAGCATTTGTAAGGCCAGAGGTCCAAGCCCCAGCACTAAACAAACAAATACAAACAAACAAAACCATAAAATAAGCCTAGCCTTGCAGTGGGTAGAGGGGAGACAAGAACTTATGAGGAATAACATAGGAGACTGTGGCATTCATCACATTTGAGGACAGCTATAGGCTCTACACTTTAAATGTTTTAAATTTTCTATTTACTTCCTGTTGTATGTTTATGTGTGGGTGTGCACATATCACAAGATACACATGGAGGCCAGAAGACCAAGTGTGTCCTAGGTCAGAATCAAACTCAGATTGTCTGGCTTGGCAGCAAGCACCTTTATCCACTAAGCCATCTGGCCAGCCAGTTTTGTTTTCTTGAGAACAAGTCTCATGCAGTTCAGGCTGGCCTTGAACCTGCTATATAGCTAAGGATGACTTCAAAACTTCCTCCCAATGCTGCATTACAGACATGCAATATCACATCATTTCCACTTTTTTTTAAAAGATGTTTTTCTTCTCTATAGACAAGGCTGACAGTGGCTCTGTGACTAGTACTCTAATGACAAGCTAAAGAACTCCATGGTTCTTTATAACACCCACATCTTTATATGTGGCACCAAGAAAATGCAATGAGCTTACTTGAGTCCTGTCTTCACAAACTGCTGCCAGTCACCAGGCTCCACCTCCTTCAGTGTATGCTAGAAAAAAAGCACAGGAAGCATGTCAGTGAGCTGAAAACAATGAGGGCTCCAGTGTGTGCTTCAGGGAGCAGGAAGCAGAAGCTCCAGTCATCTCTAACGTTCTGTATCAGGGTTACTAAGAACCCTGCTGTCCCTCCTACTGTGTCTGTCAGTCTTTTCTGCAGCTGCTCCAGCCACCTACTGTCATTCCTGCTGAGACTAAGATGGCAGAGAGACAAAACAATGATCTTAAAACAAAGACTAACACACGCAGACTTTGGATTTACAGCAAATATAAACAAAGCACCCAAACCACATAGGGCTTTGAGACAGGGTCTCAGATAGCCAGCCTTGAACCCACTATGAAGCTGGGATGACCTACTTCATGAGATGGACTACAGGTGTGGGCTACCAGCCTTTGTTTATTCAGTGCTGGTGATGGAAGCTAGGGTTTTGTGCATGCTGAGCAAGGCTCTACCCTCTGAGATACAAACCCGTTGTTTTGTTATTTTTAAAAAAGCAGCACTGACAATTTATTAGCACATTCTTGCACATCAAACAAGCAAAGGGACATTTCCCGAGTGGTCCTGTTATTTTGCCACACCTACCTTTTTAGACAGCAAAGGTGGATTTGTAAGTAACCTTTCACTGAGGAACCAGTGAATAATACTCAGGGGACACTGACGTAACCCCGGAAGGGAAGAGGTCTGTGGAACACAAGGTTCAACGCTGGCCCTGAGGCACCAGCTAAGTGCATTTCATGTATGTCACCTCCAACAGACCAGCCATGCAAGGAGACCTCAGTGCCAGACTGACAGGAATCTCCCAGCAGCAGACCCTCCACAGAGGGACTTCTCTGCCTCTTCACACTGCTCTTTCAGGAATCTACGTGGATATAACTAGGATGGTCAGTGTTGAGCTCGACAGGGTCTAGAATAATCTACAAGTGAAATGTCTGGGTATGCCTGTGAGGGAGTTTCTACTTTGAGTTAATTGAGGTGCAAAAACCTACCCTAAATGGCAGCACCACCCATCCCATGGGTTCCAGAGTGCACAAGACGGAAAAGGCTAGCTAAACATAGGAATTCATCTCTCTCCACATCCCTACCACAGATGCAACAAGACCAGGAGCTGCATGCTCCTATCACTCTGCCTTCTTTGCCACACACACTGTAGCTATAAACAGTGAGCCCAAACAACCCTGCCTTATTGTCAGGAGTTTTGTCAGGGGATGAGAAATGTAACAAATACAGGTCCCATGCACGACTATCACAGCGCTCTTTGTAACAGCAAAAACCATGGAAAGACATCTATAGGACTCAACAGTGTGCTAAGCACATTAAAGTAGGAGATCAACACCATTTCCAATGCAAATATGTCCACAGACACTGGTATGTGGGGAAATCTGGACATACACTATCATGTTTAGAAACAAACAAACCCAACACCTGAATATGACATGCACATGATTCCATGAATACTTAATTTAGTTTTACCTCACATCCATGTATACAGACATACATAACATCTCTAGGATATTCATTCACTAACATAGCAGAATGGTCTCTCAACGTTCTCTAATTTTTACATTGCTGGTTCTCCTCTTGGGAGAGGGGCACAGAAGCAGGTGCTCAGCCAGCACTCCACCACCCCGCTATCCCCAGCTGCACACTGCTGATCGTGAGCTTTATGATCACAAAACCCAGTAAATTCAAATTGTAATGGGATTGGGAGAAAGGATGGTAGACATCATACATGAACTACTACTAAGCAACAAAAGCCTAGATACTTATTCCTGTGTCTGTAAAGTGTTATTGAACCCACAGAAGTCACACTGAAGGGTACATATTGAACTTACGCCAGGTTTGGGTTTCTGTTACTTTAAATTCACAAACCTGTAGCACAACAAGTTAGGTCTGGAAGTACAGGCTGTAAAGTTTCATATATATATATATATATATATATATATATATATATATATATATATATATATATATATATATATATATATATATATTTCACTTTGTGATTCGTAATGAACTCACAAATAAAAACATTAAGCAGGTAGATTAAGGTAGCCACTCAAACAAACACTTGCCCAGACCAAAATTCTACATGTCTCAATGTACTTCTGAGGCTGTGGAGTTTTGCTTAGGTTTTACAATGAACAAGTGTGTGGTACACCCTCGGAAGATATACGGCATACCTTTGGAGCTAACTTTTAGGATACTATTTCCGAACAGAAACATAACAGTGTAAAGGAAGGTACGTTAATAGAAGGAATAAATGTGGAGCATCTCTACACTTCATAACAGCGACTAAGCTGCAGATGATGTGGCGTCTTCAGTGCTTGAGAAACTAGGGATGAGAAGCCTGAAGGCCAGTGTAAACAAACTGCTGGAGCCGTTCTGAAGTCAGCCATAGGGAAAGAGGCCTCCTATGTTGATGGAGGAGGGTCAGAATGATATGATACATTTCTTACTGGAAACAAAGTAACCCAGAAGAACCTACAAACAGTTACAGAAAAACTAAGTTGTCAGCTTTGAATGTTAAACCCAGTCAGACTTCTCCCAACTAATCCAGTGAGGCCTGCCTTACCCAACACAGAGGCACCATCACAGGAAAGCCCAATTAGACACAACTATACCTTATGCATACAGGAGAACAAGGCTAATAATACATTATGATCAGGGAGGTTTATCCGAGGAATATAAAACTGGTTTATCATTAACTAATAAAATTTATCCTATTAACAGAGTAATCAAAAAACAAACTATAACATTTCAGTAGATTTTTAAAAAATCTGATAAAATCCAACATCCACTCAGATAAAAGATGGCTTACAAATTCAGTGCCTCCCACCCCAACTCTGCCCCTAGACATGGCAGCTCTCATTTCCTATGTACAAGGCCACATTCATACCACACCACCAAAACTGTATCTTTGAGGTCTGGCTTGTCTGGCTCCTGCCCCCTCAGCATGTAGCCAGGATCTCTAGAGAGACACTTACCAACAAGTCGCTTACTCTGAGCAGCACTGTCTTCTCCTGCTCCTGGGTGTTCTCACCTCCTGGCTCCTGGCCACTGAAGGACACAGCCAGCCACTGCATACAGGACCCAAGGAGGGTCTTCCTCCAGGCACTCAGCTCTTCTGCTGACTCTGCCAAGGCAGCTGACACAGAGTCAGCCACGATCCAACTGCAGCAGGAGACCGGGGTGGCAGAGTCACAACACTGCTAAGGGCCATGTGCATGAGGCCTGCACTGCCCACTCTTGGGGCCACTCTTACTTGACACCATATTGTCAGTAAAATCAGCACACCAGAGAAAGAACAGGTCTCTCTAGACTCATTCGTAACTAGGGTCTCCCCACCTCGGGACTTGTGACAGACAAGGCTTGGTCATCTCTTTGGAAGACTGTTCTATTGAAACATTTAGTGTCACTCTGCCCTCTCCACCCTCTGGACACCACACCACCCCAGTTAGACTCTGCAAACAACTTCTGGGGAAGCCACTCTAGAACACTGCTCTCAGGCATGAGCCCCAGTCATCTACACACAGAGATGCACTTCTCCAGCCATGATGGCTGCTCTAGCCATAACTGCAACTGCACTACTGACACAAGAAGACAGATGCTTTACACTAACTTTCATTATACACACCAAAGAGAAAAGTGACACAAAGAAGGAAAAAGCGTCCAGTGGCCTTGGCTTTCATACCTCTTGTGACTGCTCAGAGTCTGAAGCAAGCTGGGTAACTGGTTCATGAGCACATGCAGGTCTTTGCTTCTTGCAAATGGAACGAGCTGGGCCACAGCCTCCAGATGAAGCTCACACTGGGCAGGCCCATCATCATGAAAAAACCTGTCTCGCACTTGTCTCCACAGGGCCCTCAGGACAGGAGTGACAGCAGAGGACACTAGGCAGACACAAAACAGAGGTTGCCGTGCACAAAGCAGGGGACCTATGAAAAAGTTGCCTGCGGGAAGTCTTCCTTAGGAAGTACCTGGCGCCACCCATACAAATACAAAGCCATAGGGGAAATCACTTTTATTTCACTATACACAACTAAGTTGGAGGTGGCTTTGTGGCATACTTGAGGCTCAGAAGGCAGAGAGAGTTGGATTCACTCTGCCCAGACTCAGTATGAACTCAACAACGTGTTCCCGAGTAAGGGAACAATGCAATGGGACAAAAGATAGATTAGCCCTCTGTTACTTCCGCTCGGTCAGAAACAGCTAACTCACCCCCCATTACTGCCCACTCCATCTTGCTCTTCTCATAGGAATGGATAGGCACCTGAGGCTGTACCTCACTTCCTAAGGCTAAGAGACAGAGAGGACACTGAGGAACCTCAACTTTCTAAGCCTAAAGACATTCCAGTGAGGATGAGAAACAGAACTATGCCATGCCCCAGAACACAAGGGACAGGGTTTAAGATGGCAAGCCATCCTGCCTTCAGGTGGAACCTCCCAGTTGCCCAGTGGCAGTGCTTCCCGTACCTCCTGTTGGCAGCAAGGGGTGTCCTTGTGTCCTGTGCTGGAGGTACACGTGGATAAGGGGGAGGAAGCCATCCAGGTGCTCCTGCAGGCTGAGCCCCACACCAGGCTGCCCACACCAGAGCTCAAACTTCAGCAGATGGGTGGGGCTGTGCTGAAGGAGCAGGCTGGCAATGCCCAGGGCTGCCTCTGTCCGTCGGACCAGGCAGTATTCAAGCAGTTCAGTTGGGACTATGGGGGCCAGCACAGGGTCTCTCTGAAGAGTCTGAAGGAATACAGTGTCCAGTTCATGCTCAGCCAGAGTGGGGAGCAGAGCCCCCAGACCTCGCACATACTCGGCGCGCCACAGGAGCTCGCAGCTCTGCAGCTGGTCCTGGTGGCTGCTCGCCAGCAGCTGTACCAGGGTCTTTCCAAGACTGCTTAGTTGTCTCTCCTTCCCTGGAGAATGTATGGCTTGCTGGGTCAGCAGGTGCGCCTCGGGCAGGCCCAGTAGGGCCAGGGTGACCTCTCGGATCTGGACACTTCCCATGTATGGGTGCAGTTCTCGCAGCGCCTCCAGCTGAGGCAGGGTCTTGGATGTTGTGGCAGAGTTCCCAGTCCTGGTGCGTAGCTCTCTCAACACACTTTGGGTGATGGCTTCTGAGTATTTTCCCAGGAGGCCCAACTGACCCAGTTTATGGAGAACTGGGGAACTTGCAACCAGTAGCTGAAGGACCCCTGCACTGAAGTGGGCTGCTAGGAGCTTCACAAGGATGGGGCTGAGCGTGTGCGGGGGCAAGGCTTTCTGCTCCAGGGCTAGAAACCAACTCTCCAGTGTGGGATGTTTAAGGATGGCCACCAGCACCTCCTCTACTGTCTGCAAAATAAGGTCAAAAGCATATTACTTTGTATGTGTAACACAGGGCCAGAGGGAGGCCACAGCTACCCAAAAGCATCCGAAACAGAGCAGGAAGCACTCTGCAAGCCTATTCTAGCCGTAGCCCCGAGCTTTCATGTCATTCTCAGGCAAGCTTGCCGTATCCTGTCTGCTGCGATGTCTGTGCACCGCAGCCCTCTGGAGTGTGCTGTGGCTCCCATCAATTCCAGGCAGGCTAGGGAATCCACAATCCAGGTCTGCCTCACATAGCCTTACCAAACATGATTCCTGGAAGATGAGCCACTCATTCCCAGGACACAAGTTTCTTACACCTTGTTCATTTTTAAGTGAAGCAAAGAAACCTATCCCCTTTCCAACAAGAAACAGCCAAAACCAGGAAATACGACTCTCAGAAACTCAGTGTGGAGATCACGGAAGAAAAGCAGGCTATTTCAGTAAGACTGTGAAATGAGAGCCCACTTCTCTCTGAGCCCAGCATCAGCCAGCTGGCACAGTACAACAGAAGCAGCCATCTGGCCAGGGAAGGAGGAAACTTTGGCTAGGAGAGCAGCTGCTGCACACCCGTGCTACAGAGGACCCAGGTCAGGGCAGGATGAAGCTACTTGACCCTCATCCTGACCCCTCCAGGGGCTCAGAGCACGGGTACAAACAAGAGCTGTAGGCTGACATGACTATAAAGGACTGACTGGAAAACAGAACCCAGACTAGGCTGTTACCGCAGCTGTAGTTTTACAGCTCTCTATTTTTCTATAGTGAACGCATTTATTTTATTTTATTAACTACAGTTTATTCACTTTGTATCCCAGCTATAGCACCCTCCCCCATCGCCTCCCAATCCTACCTTCCCTCCCTCCCTCCCTCCCTTCCTCTTCTTCTCCTATGCCCCTCCCCCAGTTCAATGCTAGGGGAGGTCTTTCTCCCCTTCCATCTGACCCTAGTCTATCAGGTCTCATCAGAACTGGCTTCTTTGTCTTCCTCTGGCCTGGCAAGGCCGCACCCCTCTCAGGTAAAGGTGATCCAAGAGCCAGCCCATGAGTTCATGTCAGAGACAGTCCCTGGTCCTATTATTGGGGAACCCTCTTGGACACTGAGCTGTCTTGGGCTACTTTTGTGTAGGGGTTCTAAGTTATCTCCATGCATGGTCCTTGTTTGGAGTATCAGTCTCACAAAAGACCCCTGTGCACAGAATTGTTGGTTCTGTTGCCCCCCCTTGTGAGAGGCTCCTGTTGCCTCCAGGTCTATCTCCCTCTTCTCTCATAAGATTCCCTGCACTCTGCCCAAAGTTTGGTTATGCATCTTAGCATATGTTTTGATACCCTGCTAGATGGAGTCTTTTAAAACTCAGGAGCAGCCAGCCAGTACCTGTAACCTTGTGGGGAAAGAGTAACAGGCTGTCTGGGGGGATGGTGGGGCACAGAAGGGGTGGTACCTTGTCAGTGGCCAACTCAAGTAAAGTCACAGACTCCATGTCCAAAAAGAGATCAGACTCGGCACGGGCAGCCTCTAACTTCTGCTGGTTCTGGGCGTCCAGCTGCGCAGAGTGGACAACCAGCTGCTTAAGGAGATCCAAGAGGAACTGCAGGAAGGTCGGGCCCACACTTCTGCCCAGCTGTAAGAAACACGTGACCCTCAGACAAGGAAGGGCTGATCGGTCACCAAAGTCGTGAGTGTGAACGCCAGGCCCTGTGGAGTCAGGGCAGAAAAAGGGAGACAGGCCAACAAGGCGAGACTTGAATGCAAGGTTTCCAAGTTCCTCTCACAGAGATTTGTCTTCCTCTAGAACTGGAGGCAATCTCCCCTTCTCACCATCCTTCCCCAGATTAGCCCAAGCTGTACACAGGACAGCACTTGGGTATGTACTGACTATTTAGGAGAGAACAGAATACAGGGAACCCATCTTCCCAAACCTCAGTGAAATACACTGATTTCAGTGTATTTCAGGGAAAGATGGCTCAGCAGGTAAAGGCACTTGTCACCAAGCATGACAACCTCAGTTCAACCCCCAGAGCCCACACTGTGAAGAAGAAAATCGATATCCTACATGCCGTCCCATCTGGCCTCCACATGCTTGCGTGTGCACATAACTAAGCACATAACTAAATACATGTATTAATGGGTTTTTTTCTTTTATAAATAAGCAGGTCACCAACAAAGCCTAAACTAAGGGGCTATAAAGAACCCCAGCAGAAAGTTCAACAGTGAGCTACTGGACTCACAAACCACGAAAGGCAAGGCCTGACCATGCTGCTACTGTACCACAGGAAGGACCCTGTCCTGAGTACACACAGGTCCAGACAGAAGAGCTTCACTGCCTCTGCACGGCTGCCTGAAGAGAGGGGTCCAGCCCAGGAACAGAAGAGCTAAGAGCCCAGGTTCCAGAGCTGGGGTGCAGATTCACAGACAAGCACATTCTGTGCAGGTGGAGGGCCGCGAGGAGAAGGAAAGGCACTGACCTGGCTGAAGTTCTCCACAGTGCTCCTCAAGTACAGCAGCACCTGCTTGGCTGAGCGCAGCACCTGTTGCAGAGCTAGGCATGGGACAGCGGCTAGCACCTTTGTCTGAGTGTTCTTATCCCCAAGTGTGCGGCTTTCATATGCTGTTTGCAGCAAGGTGGAGAAGCAAGAAGATGAGGTGGGGCTATAGGGTACAGAGCTACTGGACACCTGCAGTGGCTGAGGGATCAAAAAGGACAGAATGGAAGAGAAATTACCTCAGAAGCAAAGGCTGCACACACTGGTGACAAATGGAGTAACACATAGTGAAGGACATTTCACACTAATCATTAGGGTGGTGGGGCACTGTACTCAAGGAGACTCCACCCCAACACCAGCAGCCAGCCATCACCCTAGAGCGTGTGCCTGCCGAGAGAATGCAAAGGCACCAGCATGCAGTACCAGTAGACCTTGTAGTGAGGAGCCAACTGCCTCAAACGTGGGATTTGATCACTGTTTTGCCAGGATGAAGCACTGCAGACTAGGAAAGCACCACCCAAAGCATGGCCTGCTGCTACAAGCTACCTGCCCACCCCAGAATATCTTGTCAGAAGGAGCAGAGGAGATAGGTAAAGGAAAAGAAGGCTCCACAGATGGGCTGCTTCAAACAAGTTACTCACTTACAACCACCAAGCAGCCCTCTAAATATACCCATGTGACTCACTTCAGCAAATGAAGCTCAGTGGTGCTCAAAGCATGGTTTGAGGACCAGCGTAACAGCAGCATTACTTGAGACAGTGGAACACAGGCCGAGTCTCAAGACCCCACCCACACCTACTGGCCGAGTCACATTATGGGCAGAGCCTGGCAGCCAGAAGAATGCAGCTGTGAGCCACGCAGTGGAGGGTGGACACCAACAACAGCGCACAGGCGGAGGGGCACTGAGCTGAACTGCCTGCCGACCAGTGCAGAGGAAGGTAACAACGGCTATTCTGGTTATAAGCTCCAGAACCAGACTGACCAAGCCCTGTCCCACCACTAACTGCTGGTGGAAGTTCTCTGCATCTGTATAAAGGGTTATCAGAGTCTTGACCGACTCTGACGGTGGATCAGAACAAATGGCTTAAAAAGCACACGGCACAGCATCAACAGGCTACATGGCCACCACCGCAAAACAAAGGCCCTAAGCCATTTGCATTCTTAAGCACAGCTGCAAATGGATCCACAAAAACCCACAGGAAGGTCTACTCTGTGCCCCAGACAGTGTTAGACACACCGCATCTGAGCAAGAATCCCATTACAAGAATCCTTCCCATCACCCCGTTTCCTCTTCCAGGATTGGCATGGAGCTCATGGTCCATATTGAGGGGGCAGGTCTGTTAGCTGAGCACACTAAGGTCTGTAGAAGGTTGCAAAGACTAGCATTCCACTGTACTTGGTAAAGGAAAAAGAGGAAGAGGTCACTTCCTGTCCCGAGCTGAATAGTGACAGCCAATTTTCATTACTAGGGAGCTACTCCCTTCACACAGCTGAGCAGGTGACATGACTGAGGACACGGGAAGGCTGCAAACTGTACAGCATCTGGACACCCAGCTGCACAACAGCAACAGCGTCAGAAGAAACACTTCAGGGAGCAGTGAGTGCAGCTCACCAAGGTCTCCTGGGCTTGGTCAGGAATCCAGAGACTGTAGTATCTGTGAAATCGGGCAAGCTGCTGACGGCACAGCAGGCTGGCAGGCTCAAACTTGTCATAAGACTGGAGCAGAAGACACAGAGCTAGGGGGTCCCTCTGGGTGTGAAGAAGGTCGGTCAGCACTGCAGTGAGGTATGCCACGATGCTGTCCCCTGCAAAGCAATGGGGGTGGTGAGGTTAGGGAGCAGAGTTAAATCGCTTCTATGCGACACGAACACAACCCCTTCCACATACACATCAGACTCAGAAAACTCATGGCTGACTCATGCCAGCTCCATGAAAGGTCAGATGCCAACGTGGGAGGGATTCTGGAGTACCCCAGGTTCTATTTCAATACAGAGAGCACACGGTCTGACATCAGGTCCTCAGGCTTGCCAGTAAATGCACAGCTAGACCACCGCTACCGGGGCCAAGGGCTTGCAAGTGGCTTTCCTATCCCTTCCTCTGCCTTGGCACACAGGCCTCCCCAGTGGGGAAGGTGGGAACACACGTCACCTTGAGTCCCTCTCCAAGCATAGCACTCCCTGCCTGATCAGATCTCCAGGATAACCAGGATCATCTTTCCCAGGGACCCTAGAAACCATGCCATCAGATGGCATAGCTATGAGATGGGAACAGCTTATATTCTTGGAAGACAGCCACCAGAAGAGCCATGTAGCCTGTACTGGCCTACGACAAGGTCAGGAAACAGACTTTTGCCCTCAAACTATTGCCATGTGGGCTCATGTGTTGTGGATATCTGGGCACTCCAGCTACTATGATCTGTGAGTGTTCTCAGGTCTAAGATACTTCAGAAACACAACAAATAGCCAAGATTCGTTCCCTATCCTGAGCGCAGGACTGAGTAGTGGCAAGCAAACTCAGGTTCCACGGAGCCATGCGAACACATTCTTCCAGACTCATCCTTCAAGGCCTGCTTTGCTAGCAGCCTAGTCAGTCTTGACATCCATCCTTGTGCTCTGAGCTCCAGGCTGAGCATCCACCACTCTGGGGAATCTGACCGCTCATCTTTGCACTTTCAGCCCCTGGCTTTCCCAACCCCAACCTCTGCTGACTATACACAGGTACCTGCTTCACTTTCTGTCCCAAGCAGCTTGTTCCTGGCTTCCAGAGCTGCAGGGACCAGAGCACTGAAAGGGAAGGTGAGCAGAATCATCTCTTCATTTAACAAGAACCCAATGTCCTCATCCAGGCCCTCGCTGCCTTCCACCAGCACATCCACCATGTCCAGCACATCTGAGACAGAAGAGAGGCGGCTAGTGTAAGTGAAAGCCATCAAAAGACCCCAGTGTAATCAGCCCAAGACACGGAGAAGCAAGAGAATACTTACAGAAAGAGAGAACAAAACATTTCAAACTTCTCTTGGGGGAAAATCCTTCCCAGAGTTTGACCCTGTACAGGTGAAGCCGTGACATGCAGTTTTCACAGTATTTGACAAAGTACAAGCTGCCCTAAGACAGTAACTAAAGCCCAGGAGCATTGTCCCCATTCACACAAGCCAGCTGATACCCGACAGGGCTACAGCACAGACCAGCAATGGGGTCCCTAGGTTCAAATTGTGAAGTTGCAAGGAAGTACCTATGAGAGACAAAGTGACTTGCCTCTCTGGCCCCAGATCTGTAAAGTACATATTAAAGAGGACAAGCAACACCTTCCTCACCTGAGGGCTGTTAGTGAGGTGTCTATTAATGAGGTCTCTGTTAATGAGAGCTGTAAGGAGCTGAACAGTGCCAATACACAGTAGACAACACATAAACTCAAACAGCCAGCAGGCAGTTCTCCTGAGACGGCTTCATCTGCACAGTAGACTCATCTTTCACACAAGGAAACAGGCGGTCTGTACTCTGAAAAGCCTCAGCACAAGTCTAACTTGCTGCTGTGGCCTGAGATCCAGAGCACAGGCAGCTTCTGGGCATGGAACCTACCGTCGATGTGGGAGATGGGAATGCTGGCATCATCTGTATCTTGCTTCCCCACAGTGGCCTGAAGGGTGCTGGCTTCTTGGACAAACTCAGAAGTTTTGTCTGTATATGAGTAAGGACTCACCACGAGTGTCAGTAAAATCTGAACATAAAAGAGGAAGGTGAAGACAGTCACATGGCAACAAGTACAAGGAAAAAGCCCAAAATGCCTTCGGTCAAAATCAAATGAAGTAGGAAAACATTAAGTGCAAATGATAATAATAATAACTCATTGAAATGATTTTTAAAGCTTTTTCATTATACAGTTTTAAAAGTATCTTTTCTATCTTACTGCTTTTAACTTGGCTTTTGGATAAACTTACTCCTTCCATGGAAAACAAATTTCCCAAATGATATCAAGAAGCATGCAGTGGCATATTGCTATTTCAGACGGGGTGGACATGAGTGGCTCACATGGAGTCAGTGTCAGCAGGATTAGGAAGTGAGGCATGGCAGGGGCCCTTCCGCCACGGGCGCATCAAGAAAGCTCGAGTCAGCTGCCCGGAGCCCACTCCGTTCCGTGGAGCTATGCACATACCCGCTCCAGGAACTGAATGACGGTTTCCTTGTGCTCTTCTGCAGTGCTATCCAGGTGCTCCAGCCACAGCTCTAGCTCTTTCCAAGTGTGTTCGAACACTCCTGTGTCCCGAAGAATCTGTTGGTGGTGGAGCCATGAAAGGGTCAGGGCAGAACCTGTTTCCTGTGCAGCTGCAAGTTTCAAACCAATGTGCCAGACACCAGTGCACCAGCTGTTCTCCCAGCTGTTCTCCTGAGGACTCAGGGCAAAGACATCACTCCATGCCCCGCTGGGGACAACATGGCTCCTTTCTGTATACTCCCTTTCCTTTCCTAAGTCTGCAGTAGGAAGGCGAACAATCCAGTGGGGAACTCGTTTTTTATCTGGATTTCCAGTAAGACCAGATAATTATGTGTGACTCAACCCTCAGCCTGGGTAAGCAGCACAGTATTCCTACTAGGGTAGAGCTTGCTATGAGGCAGGCCCTCAGTCTGCCAAAGAAATGATACCCCTCATGGTGTGCTGCTGTAGGAGGCTCAGGGGCTAAGCGCTCTATGGCACAGAGCCCCGCAGCAGTGTGCGTCAAACTCCCCTCTCTGCAGTTATTTGTCATGACAACTGGCTGAGTGGAGTCCCTTCCTAAATGGTCAGGCAGCACTCAAACAGGGCAGGCCTCAAGCCACCCAGTCAAGAAGCTCAAAGTGCAGCTACATTATCAGCCCTTCAAGGAAAGCCACAAAGTCACATCCTGGCACCCTGAAAGCGCTGACTGCCACTGGTGGTGTTTGCAGCAGGGTGTGGAAATCTGGCTGCAAACCCCGAGTCTGGACTACACGTGTGAATCCTGATGCCTGGCTGGCAAAGTGACCCTGGAAGACTGAGTGCCACGTGCAAGAACAAAGAGAAGAGAACCAAGTCCTCACTCCTGCACACTGACTCTGGGGACACTTGAATTGTCGGTGATAGACAAGGTCTAGTGTGGGACAGAGGGACAAGGGACATCTTTGAAGCAGTTTCTAGGGGGAACAGAATACATGCAGAGTCCACACTGTGCAAGCTGTGACTGACTGTCTCATATTTCACCTTTCTGGTACTCACACATATACATACAGGCACAAAATAAACATTACAAAAATTAGAATTTACTACACTCCAAATAAAAACCCACAAAAATCTACTGTATTCCTAACACATCCTAAATCATGCATCCTAAGGCAAGCTACGTAAGTACTTGTGCTGACCTTGATGATGAGAAGTTTAGTGGACGACTTGAGCTGAAGATGGCTGCTATTCACAAACATCTTCATCAAAAGGTAAAAAACCGAGCGCTCTCCTCCAATGACTTCTGCATCGGGGCCTTCCTAGAGTTGGGGCAGTATCTCAAACTGTTAGTATCGACAATTAATAAGGGCTGTTGCTTACTGTGCAAACATGTGACTGCACATTCTACCTACCACTCAGAAGAGTACTGGGATTTACTCATAGAAAACCTTAGAAGTGAGGTCACTCATTCAGACCCTCCAGCAGCACCATGGTGACAAGCCACAGTAACAACACTACCTAACCATTTGGGTTCAGCGTAAGACATGGGACAGCTGTTACCCCATCTGGTTCACACAGAAAGTTCAGGAGGTAACTGTCCTGGGAACCGGGCTGTGGTGCAGAGACTGCACAGGTGAGCAGCGAAGAACAACACAGAGCTGTTCACCTGAGCCACGGCTGCACGGGTTGCCTTTCATCTGCCTTTCATCAGGACACTGTAAATAACCCACCACTCAGTGGGCACATAACAGAGCCTTTTAAAAAGGCTTACAGAGTTTGATGCCTTAAAACAGTGGTTCTCAACCCTCCTAATGCTGAGACCCTTTAATACAGTTCCTCATATTGGGGTGACTGCAACCATGAAATTATTTTTATTGCTACTTCCTAAGTGTAATTTTGTGACTGTCATGAATTGTAATTTAAGTACCTATGCTTTCTGATGGTCTTACGCAAACCTTGTGAAAGGACTGTTTGATCTCAAAGGGGTCAGTACCTTCTAGAAGTGTACAGAGCCTCAGAGCCCCAGGCTATACTGTAAAATCTGTGTGATGTGTCACATCCCTTAGTGAGGAGGCTGACCCTGAACATGACAAAGTGCTAGGGATAACGTGGTCCAGGACATAATGCCAGAACAGAAGATGCACTTTAGAAGCATGAAATGGGTAGAGCACAGAATGTCAATTAATGTCTGTCCTTCCTTCCTTCCTTCTTTTCCCCTCAGAGAGGGTTTCTCTGTGTAGCCCTGGCTGACCTGGAACTCGCTCTGCAGACCCAGCTGGTCTCAAACTCCCAGATCTGCCTGTCAATGCCTCCTGAGTGTTGGAATTGAAGGCACACGTTTACTCTTCCAGGAGTAAATTAACGCCTTAACACCGCCAATTCTTTCACATGAAGAGGCCTCACCTGGGCCAATTCTCATGGACAAAGCTGCGTGATAAACACCTCTTAGGATGACACTTGTGACACTCAAGAGCTGCAACCACTCGCAGCACCACGCCACAAAGCACCAAGGGAAGGGCTCCCCAGCACTGTCATTTGCTGACCCTTCTAGCTGGTCCTGCTTCCTGTCTGCATCTGCTGTCATTCTTTAAAGACTCTCCTGAAGACTTGGGCAAGTGTTTCACCAACAGGAACTTCACAGTGGATTCTGTTTCAAAATGCTGACTTGATATGCAAATAAGATGGTGTGGTTATTCATTAGTGATTGGTAATTTGAGAAGGATGTGTTCATCTTTCACTTTTACTTGTAAAATGTTTGCCCACCACACAGAGCTGAAGAATTGCAGAAATGTCCCGAGCTTTCTGTGACCCCAACACCTTGCCTCACGTGCATGGGCAGAGTGGCCAAAGCACCCTTGTGCAGCCTGCCATGTGGTAAATCCTTATGCAATTATGAGTTGTCTCAACTCAGAGAGACAGCGCCATGCAAATAAACACACTTTTCTGGAGATGCTGTGTGTATAAACGTCAACATGCATTTCCAAGCTACTGATTCCACAGAAGAATCCTGCATGAGAGCCAAGCCGCTATATGATGTGAGCCACTCAAAAGCACATGTAGCCTTGCTGGTCACCCTCACTGCACAGGAGGGACAGCATCTGGCGTTAGAGGGCACGGGTGAACAACTGGTGTTTGCTGACCTTCCCTCCATGAGTGACTATTATGGCCCTAGAAGATGCTACCGAAGACATGCAAACACCAGGTCCAATACACTGCCACCAGTTTCAGCTCTCTGCTGGCATGGCAGTATTCCCATCTTGGCCATTGGGTTCTTTCAGGATCAGAACAAAGGAAAAGTGATGTACTTTATTTCTAAATGTGTTAACTGACAAGAACTGTGAAAGGATGGAGAGAAAAGCCAGCCCAGAAAGTTGGTAGTAGAAGACTGGAGACGTGTACTTCCTACCTGTGCCTTTAGCCACAGAAACTTGTTAGCAGGAAGTTCCAGGGCCACCTTTAGCATGTGATGCTGCAGGATGGGAGGAACCTCCTCAGGAGGGCCCTGCTCGGAGACAATGCCTGCAGACAAGGGTAAGAAAAGCACAAGGTGACCCAGAACCAACACCCTAACCCAGAGAAGAAAAGAAGGATGCAGTCTATTCCCCATGTCCTATGCTTCCTCACTCAGGCTGTGAGAAGCACACCTCACCTGACACCCCCCACCCAATGTCCCTCCAAATTTGCCAAGAAAACCCAAATTCTACATACACAAAACAGCCCTTGTCTGTCCCTCAGGCAATTCTAATTTGTCCTACAATTGTACTCACTATACCTCACCACACCGCCTCTGAGTGTGGTCCCTAACTCATTAATTACAACATCCCATGACTCTGCAGAGCACAGGTGCTACTACCCAGGCCGTAAGTATTCTATGGAGAGAGGCTATGAGCAAGCCTGAGCATGGACCCTGTAGCCTGGTCTCTAGAGTCCTCCCTTGCTTGGGAAGGCAATAGCTGCTAAGCCCTACATGGGATATTTCTATAAATTTTATATTCTCAGGGAAAAGATAACCTTTCACCCTTGATGATTAAAATGCTAATTACAAGTCTCAAAAATAATTATTTTAATAACTTACATAAATTCCAAGAATGGCATTTCTGCAGGTCATCTTCTGTAGGCCCAATTATTAGGCAAACCTGATCATCAAGGAGTATGTCCAGACAAGCATGACGACACTCTTATACTCTTACATGAGGTGGACTGAACCTGACTTGCTTGGGTAAAACATGAGGGAACTACAGCCAGAGCACCTCTGCACAAGCAGGATGGCATGTCCCTTCTATAGGGCTCTCTTTTCTCCTGCCCTCATGCATCCCTGCGTTGGAGTAAGTATCGAATGACCTGGCTAGGGGCAACCCTGAGCAGCTCACTCAGGCTACTTGCCTTTCCCTTCTGCACTCTCACTGCTATCCTAGTGTTCACTTAGTGTGTACTTAGGGAGCCAGCTAGTAAAATAAAACCAGTGGTACAAGCAACAATGATGGTCGATCACATCTGCTGGTCAGCAGCCCACCGGGCCTCCCTGAGCTCTGCTGCAGTTGACTGGAGTGTCCCTTATCCCCGCTGGCAGAACCAGAGGCAGCTTGCCTGCAGTCCCTTAAGACCCACCTTTTAGGAGCTTGCTGAAGTCAAAGTTGTACTGTGTGACCATGTAGGGAACAACCTGTTGGTAGAGGCATATGACCTGGAGCAAAACAGCTTTCAGAAGAATGGTTTCTGCATCGTCTGCACCAAAGGGAGACAGGTTGCATTAGGACAAATACTTGACCTTTGTCCTTGATCAGGTGAGCATTCATGCTACAGCCCTAGCCATACAGAAAATGGAGTAACTAAATGGAGTAATTAAATTTAAAGGCCAATGAACATGGTTGATACTGTTCTACCGACCAGGTCTTAAGCCCACTTAATGGCTACAGCCTGGTCAGGCCAATGCTGCCTGTCTCTGGACTTCCCGCCCTCATCTGAGCAGTAGGGATACACAGCAAGGACTGGCCTGTGGTGTTTAAATATGGAAAACCACACCTGGCCAACAACAAATTTTAACAAAAGAGGAACCTTGTGGCCCACCTCCATCTGCACAGCAGCCATTCCTACAGCACGAGCAGTCAAGTCTTCAGAGAGACATGGCACTGGCATAACAACTAAACATTATTCCCAACAGATTCTAAAAGCCAACCTACAATTCCATCTATGGCTTTCCCTATGCAAGAAAGAATACCAGATCTCTTCATAAGCAGAGGAGCCTTGACACAGAGCTACTTGAGGATTCTCTCAGAGGCACCACCCTGGCTGCCCGTCACCTCTGTCCCAGGCCAAGAGCAGAGGCAGCTGAAGCCCTCACCGTGCTGGACAGCTTCAGATACCGCAGGAGTCTTACTCTTCTTCCCTTTCCCGTGGTCCTGCTTAATCTCTTGCTTTTTAAATGACTGCCAGACCCAAATAACTGTGTTCAGATCTGGCAAAATCTAAGTGAGAAAGAGAAACAGAATAAAACTCAAGTCATTTGAAACTCAGAAAGAAATCAATGAACTGAACGCACTAACAGAGAAAAAGCAAAAATAAAGCCAGAGGGAGGAACAAGCATGTGTGAATGACAGCACACTGCACACAAGCTTCCGGGTGGCCGAGAACAGGCTCAGCCCTGTAAGTCTGCTTCTGCACTTACTTTCCCACTCAAACCAGGCCAGGCAGCAGCAGGGACCCTTCTTGGGAACAGCTCCAGTAACCTGCCAAGTACCACCAGGTACTCCGTACTGTTGGCCAGTGTGTGGGAGCCATACCTCACCAGCACAATTAGCAATGGGAGAAAACAGGGTTCCTCCAGCCACTGGCCTTGATTCCCTTATTCGAGCCATGGTATCAGTGTGTGTGTGCACTTACAGGTCACAGGAAGCAGCAGAGGACAGCTGCACAGGTCCTACCAGAACCAGATCCACTGTGTCTATGCAAAAGCAAGTCATATAGCCTGACTCCTAGCTCATGAAGGACGTGCTCTAAGTGAGATCTATAAGCAAACACTTTATCAGCTGCCTTTGATTACTGTGCCAGGACACTGCCTGATGGCCTCTACTCTCTAGCAGCTAAGAAGACATATGCCTTGGCTGCCTCCCCATGTTCCCAGGATAGCCTGCTCTCTTCTGTGTTTGGGAAATGGGTCTGCAGCAGAAACTCAAACAGCACCCACCTTGCTCAAGGCTTCTCTGAAGAGCCGAACAAATTCTTCCATCATCTCAGCTGTGTAAACGCCTGAATTTTGCCATGCCTCTTTATCCAGACAGTGGTCAACTGTTTTTAATGCTCTCTTCAAAATGACTGAAATAAGGGATAATGCTGAGTGTCGCACAGGAATGCTGTCCAACTGGGTAGAAAAGAAAATTGAAATCACAAATGTCTCTAGGTGGACAACTGGGCTTGGCAGGCTCTTGCGCCTCAGGTTCCTGTTAGAAAAAAACCTAAGAGACAGCTGGACTGCACGCTGAGCAGAGGTGACCTGGGCACCTTCCTCCACAGACATCTACTCTATCCGACTATAGCAGTCACCAGGAAAGCAGGTGGAGCCCAGCCAGCCACTCAGCTATAAGACTCTCTGCAGGGACAGCACAGGATCTCCCCAGCATCCACTTGGTGTCTGTGAGAAGCACCCACATCAAGTAAGGTAGAAAGAAAGCAAGAAAACATGTCAGGTTGCTCACGATGAAACCCATCTTCATGACGACTAAGCAACTGTGATGGTTTAGATAAAATCTGTCCCCAAAGGTTTATATGCTAGAAGCCTGCTTCCAATATGGTGGCACTAAGAGGTGACCGAATCTTTATGAGGCACGATCACTGAGTAGGGTTAAGTCACGAATGAGTTCTCAGGGACAATCTGATTTCTAAGAGAAAGTGTTGTTACAAACAGAACAAAACTAAGCCAGGGCTGCCTATAATTCTAGCACACAGGAGACTGAGGCAGAGGGACCACCATGAGTTAAAGGCCAACCTGACCATCACAAAAACAAAGAAAAATAAACCAGCCCCCTCCCTGGTCTGCAGCTTCCTTTCGTCCTGTGTTCCTGCCCACTCCGCAAACACTCTACACTGCTTGTGAGACAGTAAGTGGATCCCCCTGAAGCCTAAACACATGAGGCCACTCAATCTTGGACTTCAGCCTCTGTAGGGATATACAAGTACACAATTTAAGGTGTTGTGACAATGACAAAGATTGAGTAACACAAAAAGCAATCTGTATCACAGACTTCTGATACCCAGAGTTCTCCTGTAGTTAAAGGACAACTAAGAAGGATGTCAAGGTCCTCAATGACCTCAGAGACTATGTAATGCTCAAGGACCCACAGGTCCTATTATCAAAAAGAGGAATGGGCCCAGGCTCAGTGTGTTCTTGAACCACAGCCATGCTGATCTCCTGGTACACAGAAGTGCAGTGCCTGGCCCTACACCAATTCTAGCAGAATGTGTACCTTTCCAGAACCCACTGTGATCCCATCCATGTTAGGGTATGTGAAGCTGTGGCTGGATTAGTAGAGATTTAAAATGAAACACAAAAGGCCTTCTGGCTTGGCTTAATACCAATGATGGCTGAGTATCCCAGCCTTCCAGGTAGCAAATGCTGTGTACACTTAAACAAGAAGACATATTCTAAACCCAGCAATGGCTCCATGGCTGGGACCCCTTCAAAGACAGGCCTTAAAGAGGGTTCACAAGTGCCCTCAGTGCAGGAAGCACAGAAGAAACACTCATGTTCAAGACCCTGCTGCCCAATCCTTCTCATGTCCCATTTCCACAAGCAAATGCTCCCCTTTCTGACTATGAACTAATCACTGTTAGAAACTTCTCAGAAGAAAGCATGGGAGCAGAACACAAAGCAGCTTGTGACTGCAAGCTTTAGAAGCTGTTCATATCAATGTGTCCCTAGCATATGAGAAGTCGCAGATCTTGGGGGACAAGGCTGTGGCTCAATGGCCTTAGAGCCTGCGCAGAATGACTGCCACCAGGGGACAATGCCACCAGGAAAGACAGCTATGTGCTCAGACACTCCTAAGCCACTCAGTCCTGGAGATGGAACACCCCTCTAAAGATACAGCCCCTTGGTGCTGGGAAAAAGAGCAGCCTTTCATGTGAGGGCCAGGACTAAGCAGGGAATCGGCGCAGATGAAGCCTCCGAGGAAGTGGATCTGCTGGCTCTTCCCCGTTTTCCTAATGCCCCTTGGGAAATAAACATTAATCTCTCCACAAACAGACTGGACCTAATTTTGGGAAGGATCTGCCCAAGAGAACAAAGGGCTTTTCTGCCCAGTCCAACACAGATCATCTCTTCTCACACGCTGCCCACACTCAGCATGAGCCCTGGATGGGCCATCAAAGGATTCTCCGCAGTCCCAGGACTGCAACTTTCAAGTGACTTTGCAGTGACTGCCCCCATCGTCCTGAGGCCAACACAGGCCTGTACAGAGCATCATGGCTGACCTCAGTCCTGTTCATGTGACATACCACCCAGCCTCACTGAAGGATGGAGCCGGCTCTCTGAGTGCCAAGACCCTCAGCGGATATCGGGTTGCCTAGGGTTAGAATGGGCTGTCAGACTCCAGGAATGGGTGTGCCAACAAGCAATAACTATTCAAATAAAATTAGGACACTGTGGTAAAAAACAGGAATGCTCAGAATGATGCGTCTGATGGGATATGGGGAACTCTACTAGTAATAAAAAGTCTTTTTTTTTTAAAGTTTATTTGTGTATTTGTGTGTGTGCACACACACCCATGAATGCAGGTGTCTGCAGAAGCTAGAAGACGGTGTGAGATGCCCTGAAGCTGGAGTTACAGGCAGCTATGAGCTGCCCTGCATGGGTGTTGGGAACTGAAGCTGGGCTTCCGGAAGAACAGTGCTCTTAGGCACTAAGAAACAGTGTGACATTTAGGTTCACATTTTCCTCCAGCATTGCCTGAAAACAACTGTTCCTCAAAGCAAATGCTCCCCAGGAATCTTAACCTGGTCCAAAAGGCCCTGAAAAAAATGAGAGATTGGCTGGAAGTTTTGGCCCCACTATTTCCAGATATCCTGAACTCGTGAAGTTTTACTGCAGAAATGTCCCTTCCTCTAACATTCTGCTACACCCACACAGGACTACACAAGCGTAGAGGGACAGCGGTCCCCACAGTATGCTGAAGCAGAGCTGAGGACAACGGCTAAGCCTGGGTGAGTAGTTTTCCCTCACAGGTGACTTCAAACCTCAGCCCTGCCCGGTCAAATGCAGCCAGCAGGTGTCTTCCAGAACCACACACACAGCTCTGTAAGAACAACTGGGGGTGGGGCTCACCTTTGTTTATACATTTTAAATTTCTTTTCATTTATGTGTGTGACCGTCTTGCCTGAATGCATGCCTGTGCCCACATACATGCAGTGCCAGCAAAGGCCAGAAGAGAGTGTCAGATTCCCTGAAACTGAAGTCACAGATGGTTGTAAGCCATCCACATATGCTGGGAACCAAACTTGGGTCCTCTAGAAGAACAGCCAGTGCTCCTGACCACTGAGCCACCTCTCTTTCCCTGTGACTTACATTTAACGCCTGAGTGAACATGATCTTATTGCACACCAGAGGCACTGTGGTCACCATCACCATCGCCAGGAGCCTTGGCAAGGGGATAAATTCTCTGGTCCAAAAGGCCCGGGAAATCTCTGGCTGGGCCGCGTAGATCTAAGAAAGGGAAGGAAGAGACGGCGTTATGAATGGAAGAAAACACTAACTATTAAGTACCCAAACCCACTTAACTATCACCACCCAAACATCTAGAACAAGGACTTCCCCACCAATCACTGCTGCATTTGACAGGCGCCTGGCAAACCATGCCATCTTTTTAAAGCTTCATGAGAACCCTCTAGAGAGGAGACAAAACACACAATGTGTTCAGGGGTCAAAGCTGGACCCCAGTGAGATTACTGGTCTCACAACGACAAGCCACATCATAAGAACTCGAGCCTGGTTATAAACCACACAAGAGTCCCTTCAGCAGCACAGGGCTGGACAGCACCCGAAGTGGTTCCAAAACAGATGATGGCACAGGGCAGCTTTCCCATGCTGGCCCAAGGTGAGTGCTTCTCATGAGACTCAGGAGGCTTGCACACTAGGTGCTCTAAAAAAACCAGAGACCATATGAAAAGAAAAAATTGGTTTTACAGATAATGCCGGGACCAAACTGAGGCACAAGCTAACAATCACGAAAATGTTCTCCAGAGGAAGACCCTGAATCAGAAAGAAAGCATAGCCACACTAGGCATTTATATTATTTATAGTTAAGTATGATCTGCAAATCCAAAACCTACAGCTCTCTGAACACCAATATGATGTTCAAGTTTCATATCTTATAGAATTCAAATTTCAGATTTCTAGAGCTGTCTCAGTGAGTACAAATATATGACCCTTACTAGTTCAATGCCCCAGAGCCCACACAAAAGACCAGGCATGACTGCATGATCTGCAACCTCAGTGCTGTGTGTGAGAAGACACAGGAGGGTCACTGGGCCTGTAAACCTTGCAGAGGTTATACAAAAATTATAAAATCCGCTCCACCCCCACCCATGCAAATCCTCCTGGTTCCAAGCGTTCAAGAACGGAGAGCATGATCTAGACTATGCTAGAGGATGAGGAGAGGCAGGAAAGGGATTAATACATACTACTCAAACATTTCATGACTTCCTGCAAGTCCTCCTGTCCTGTTCAGACTTGACTGATACCAGCCTCAATTGTGACTCCCAAGGATCAGAAATGAGCTCAACTGAGTCAAAAGGGGGAATTCCAAATCCAGCTAAACGAGAAGTCAATGCTACCAGAGTAAACAACCAAGTCCTGTGATTTAAGTACCCCTATCCCTGAGACAGGCTTCACTACACACCCCAGCAGAGCAGCGTGCACGCCAGCCCCAACTCCTCAGACCGTGGCCTGCCCAGATGACAGCTTTGCTGAGCTCTGTACCTTGTTCAGTAGCTTCACATTGTTTAGCCAAGTGGACTTGACTCTTGGGAGAAAGGAAAATGTGACTTCCTTGAAGTACTTGGTCAGCAGGTCTGGGCACACCTTCAGAATGTTCACCACAAGCGAGGCCACCAGCTCATCCTCAGCCGCAGTTTTCAAACTCAACAAGAAGTGCAAGAGTGTCAGGTTGCCTCCTCTGTTAGGAACAGAGACAAGACCGGAGAGAGATGAGCAACAGTTCAAATACTCTTGAGCACTGGAGTCACTCCCAGGGACACAGCAGTAACATGGCAGCGAGTACATTTTTTTCAGGGTACTCAAAGGGCATGCCTTGGCATGTTGGGGCCACCAAAGGGCTTTAATCTCCCTCCTCTACTTCTACATGGCTGGAAAGGTCTCTACTTCACCCACTTGGCAGTTGGTGCTCATGGGGAAAGTCATGGTGTCCTCAAATAGACAAAGCATCTTCAAGAATGAGATGAACATGAGCATAAAACCAGGCATGGTAGCAGACTCCTGCAACCCCAGCTGCTCGAGAGGCTCAAGAGGGAAAATTGTTTTAAGTACACAAGCTCTGGACCAGCCTGGTCAATAAACAAAAGCAAGGAGAAAAAGCCTGCTGACATTAAACCTCCAATGGAAGCACCAATCCCAGGATCTCTATAGCTGAAGCTTCAGGACACTAGGCTTCATCTGTGCAAAGCTCTAAGACTACTTTTCACAAGGCTAGAGAGATGGCTCAGAGGTAAGAATACTGGCTGTGCTTGCAACCGTCTTGAGTTTAATTCCCAGCAACCACATGGTGGCTCATAACCATCTATAGTGCGATCTAGAGCCCTCTTCTGGCCTGCAGATACACATGCAGGCAGATGCTGTATAATAAATAATAAATAAATAAATCTTTAAAAAAAACCCTACTTTTCACATCTGCCCTAATACTCTCAGAGCATCCAGATGTACCTGGGCTTTGCCATCTGCTCTTAACCAGTTCACTAGGGTTGCCATACTATGGGCCATCACCTTTAAAGTCTGACTTGACAGTTACAGCCATTTGTCTTCAGTGTCACAGTGGCAGTGCTGAGGGTAGTCACAGAGAAGGGCCTATCACCGGTTACATTCATTCTATCTGGTCCTTACACAGGAAGTCACCGCCTCTTGCTCTTCGCTGGCACCTTGACTTCACTGATCACTTGGGGTACAGCAGTGACCATCCCAGAAAATGACCAGCCTCTGCTCTTACCACTTCTCACCAATCAGACTATGAACAAAGACGTAACTATACAGGGTAGTGCAAAGTCACAGAAGCCTTGGCCAGGCAGAATGACAGTGACAACAGAGTGGCTATCTGAGCAAGGGTTAGCAGGCTAAGCTACCCTGAAGTTGTGACATTTGTGTGGGGACCAAAAGAGATGAGGAGGTGAGTCCCATGAGGGTCAGGGCACCTTGCCTGGAACTCCTCAGTTCTTTTCCATTTCTAACCAGCACACCGTTCCCTCCTCAACAAGTATTGTTTGCCAGTGGTTTCAAAAATTCCACATTAACTACAGCTTTCTGCAGACTCACAGCGTTCCAACTGATGTGCTAATGCTCACTAAGTGACCATCCTTCTCAGGGGTGCAGTAATGGAAGGGAAAATGCTTGGGGGCATGTGACAGAGTTCTTAACAGTTTGAACATTGTACTGGATTCTAAAATCCTTAAGTTGCATTTTAACATGAAGATGACTTCATTCTGATGAGAAAAAAAAAACACTACTAAGTTTTTTTGTTTGTTTGCTTAAGTTAGGGCTAGGGATATAGCTCAAGGGTAAAGTACTTGCCCAGAATGCTTAAAGCCCTAGGTTTGATTCCCAGCACACAGAAGACAACAAAAACATAAAATAAAAAAATATCCTGTAGACCAGGCTGGCCTTGAACTCAGAGATCCACCTGTCTCTACCTCTACCAGTATTTGGGGTAAAGACGTATGCCACCATGCCCAGCTTGAATTCTTAAAAGAAACGTGATGCAGCCAAGAAGAAAATAAATCACTACAGTCTAGAAACATGCTCATCTTTTTAATGAATGGAGGTAGGGCAAAAAAAAAAAAAAAAAAAAAAAAAAAAGCCAATACGGACATGCATTATTGTTTTCTGACTACAAAAATATATTCAGAAGAATTAATACCATTAGGTTTGGACTTCTTTTCTTAATAAAATCTTGTAACTATGAACTAGGAAATAGTTCACACACACACACACCACTTTGGTATCCTACTGGTAGCATGTTGGAGGAGCAGGGGCTGTTTAGCTATCACACTGATCAGCTTTGGAATCACACTTCAGCACCCAGTCCAAGTTCTGCCACCCACAGGGTTAAGTGCCGTGACCGCTCTGTGGCCACCTTCCTCCTGTGTGAAACTGGAATAACAGAGCTCAGGGCTGCTGTAAAGCCTGTGCCAGCAGGAGATCTGCTCTAGGGCCTCTTTCTCATATAAGGGGATACTGCTGTCTTTACACACACATGCATTCACGTGTGCCACCTGCCCCTGGGTAAATGCTCCTTTATCTGTGTGCCTACACTGCTACTGTGGGCCCTCTGCCGCAAGGGCACGGATGGACAGACCCTCTCTACGTCTCCCACAGTCACCCAAGACATGTTTAGTCATGTCCATGAGTCTGACTCTACGCAGCATAATTCCATCACTTACTGGTTCCCACTGGACATTAGGATGTGCCACCCTAAGGAGTTCACACAGCAATATACCTTACCTGCCGGAAGTTCCCAAAGACGCATCATAAAAACTAATCCCATGCTTTCGAGAGCAACAGAGATCTAGCAGGAAGTTATGAACGAGGTCCCTCACCATGGCTTTCCCGGCCTCTTTGGCAGACACCTAGAAGGGTTTAGCAAACTATCAATTCCACATAGCTACAGAATGAAAAGAGGGAAGTATCACCTGATAACAACTAGAAAGATACTTTAAATCAGATACTTAACATGGATTCTAAAATTGTACTTTTTAAAAATTTTTTTCAATTTTTATTAATTACACTTTATTCACTTTGTATCCCCCATGTAGCTCCCTCCCTCCCCCTTCTCCACGAATGCATGTCTCCAAGTCCACTGATAGGGGAGGTCTTCCTTTCCTTCCTTCTGCTCCTAGTCTATTAGGTCTCATCAGGAGTGGCTGCATTGTCTTCCTCTGTGTCCTGGTAAGGCTTCTCCCCCCTCAGGGGGAGATGAACAAAGAGGAGGCCAATCAGTTCATGTCAGAGACAGTCCCTGTTCCCATTACTATGGGACCCACTTGAACACTGAACTGCCCTGGGCTACATCTGTGCAGGGGTTCTAGGTTTTCTCCATGGATGGTCCTTGCTTGTAGTATCAGTCTCAGAAAAGACCGCTGTGCCCAGATTTTTTGGTTCTGTTGCTCTCCTTGTGGAGTTCCTGTCCTCTCCACATCTTACTATTTCCCACTTCTTTCATAAGATTCCCTGCACTCTGCCCAAAGGCTAGCCATAAGTCTCAGCATCTGCTTTGATACGCTGCAGGATAGAGCCTTTCAGAGACCCTCTGTGGCAGGCTCCTGTCTTGGTTCCCTGTTTTCTCCTTCTTCTGATGTCCATCCTCTTTGCCTTTCTGAATGGGGATTGAGAATCCTGGCCAGAGTCCTCCTTCTTGATTAGTTTTTTTAGGTGTAGAGATTTCAGTAGGTTTATCCTATATTATACTAAAATTGTACTTTTAAAAGGTTAAAAATGACTCAATTTATAAGAAAACCTACAGAGTCAACTAACCTGGGCCATAGGGGCTCACAGAGACTGAAACCAGAGAGCATGCATGGCCTGACCTAAGCCTTTGCACATATGTAACACTTGTGTAGCTTGGTCTTCATGCAGGACTCCTAGTAGAGGGAACTGGGCTGTTTCAGGCTACACTGCCTGCCTTTGGATCCCTTTTCCCTAATTGGGCTGGCTCATCTAGCCTCAATAGGAGAAGATGCACCTAGTCTGACTGCAACTTGATATGCCACAGCTGGATGGTATCTATGGGAGTCCTGTCCCCTTCTGAAGAGAAAGGGAGGAAGAGTGGATTGAGGAGAGCAGAAGGGGAAGGAGGGGAAAGACTGGGAGGAGAGAAAGGAGGGGAAATTGCAGCAAGGATATAAAGTAAATAAATTAACTTAAAAATGACTTAATTTGTCTTATGCTTTTGAATACATTCCACATTTATGAGTGCTTTTATCAGCCTATGAGACTGCCTGGTGAGGAACTTACAAAAACATGTTCAAAATAGGAGAACATGGGCAAGTTAACAAGAGAGGAGGAAGCAATAGTAGAAGAGGCAAACTGCCATTGACTTAAGAGGAAAACAGCCCTTACTGGGCTACCCAAGTCCTTGTTCATGAAGTATCCAAGGAAAACCAAAATGAATGTGAGGCTTGGGCCAATATGAGGGTGACTGCTTTAATTTAGCTCATGAGTTAACAATCACAGCATAAATTATCTCTGTCGGTACCCAGAACTCTGGACAGAGTTCAGAAATAAGACAGTTAAACTACAAAAGCTGGATATTTAAAAAAGGGAAAGGAAAAGAGCTAAGCAAGAGGAGGAAGACGTTGCCTGGGGGAATCCTATAACCCCATGAGGCAGGTACTACAGCCAGGCCAGCCTGGGTGCCACTCCCCCAGGAGGCAACTGTTTCCTCATTAAAAGCAGAAGTAAGTTTACTCTCATTGCTCTAAGACTGTTAAGTCAGAAGAAATAGATCAAACAGATTCCCTTAAAGGTCTAGGGTGGACTGAGATACTTTCTTCTCCTGAGTGTGAGGGAGGAGCACACCAGGGCAGAGCTAAGTGGAATCTGGCAACTCACCTCAGCGTTTTCTGGGTTTTCTGGAACAACATCTGTGATCCCATTCCAGTTGTAGAGAGAAGCTATATGGCTCAGAAGCTGCCCCGTAAAGAAACGTACCTTCTGGGTTTTTGTGATGTTTTTATTGTAGATTACCTGGACCCAATAAGAAAGAAAAAAGCAAGTCACAATTGTTTCTATATTCTATATTATAAAAGTATGCATGCCAAAGGGAGATAATTTATCAAAGAAAAGGAAAAAAAGCAACAGAAAATTTGTCAAATTCCCAAGTATCTTGGACTATCCACTTAGCATTCCGGTGTGTCTCCTTTCAGCCACACTCAACTACACCTACAATGCACACTTATATTTATTTACAGTTTGGATGTTTCCTTTAGCTCTGACTGGACCATAACTGACGTCACTTTCCTGTGGTGTTTTTATATTTCCCACAAAGCCATGATCACAGCTTTCTACACAGCCCACTACACAGCTTTCACCACATCTCTGAGTAGGAAGGAGACATTGGTTCTTACAAACAGGACCCATACAAGATCTCAGCTCCATCCAGAGCTACCCCAGATCCATTACTGTGGTTCAAGAACATGTATTCCAAATGCACACTTGGGGGGCTCTAATGCCAACACCAATCAAAAGTTCAGTATAAACCTATGAACATATGTTAGACTCCAATACACCATGCCAGAGAGGCTCAGCACTTTTTCCAAGAAAGCACTCATATTTGCAGCATCTTTGCAAGCACTGAGTACCACTGTTATAAAAAAGAAAAGAAAAGAGAAAAGGAAAGAAAAGGAAAGAAAAGAAGAGGTGCTATTTTGGTAGGTGAAACATTCCTCACCGTATTGCTCACATTACTTTAAGGGTTTTGCAGCCTCCATTCTGGGAGCTACACTGTATGTAAAATGTGCTGCAACATCACTGGTTTCATCCGTAAGGGACCAGGGCACCATCCCATTGTGACAATCAAAACTATCTATAGACAGCTTCAAATGTTTCCCCCAGTAGAAAATGGGTCAGACACCCTTAGCTTAGAATCACTATGGTAAATACTACCTAATGTATTTTCCATGCTCCTTAGCCTTTGTAAAGCATTGGATTCTAATTTTCATTTCAGAGCGCCGGTTTGTTCACGGATCCTTAAACGTATCTCTCTATAAAAGCCATAATCCTTTTACCAAGTTTTAAAATGTCTCTTAAGATATCTAAAGATAGAATATGCAACATGTCTCAAATTAACACTTGAGCAGATGTGTAAATAAAGTAGCATTTGCAATTTACAGCCCAAAATACTACAGCTGAGTTCATGTGAATTGAGGCTGACAGCTTTTCTCTTGTGGTAACAAAAGGGGCCAGGCTGCTCGCACTCTGGCTCTTCTTTGATTGTCTAGCTCCAGGACGGACTTCCCACCAAGAGCAAGTTTAAGACTAAGAAGCTGCTGTCCGAGCTACCTCCCTGTAAGCTCAGCCTTGAAACACACGGGGCTGGCCTTTATTCATCCTTAAGACAAAAAGGACATCCTGGACAGCAAACACGCACCTTTGTCTTCAGTGTGGACAACAAAATGTTGATGGTAGAAATCTTATCCTCCTTTACGCTGGAGCTAAAAATGCAGGGGATAAGTTCTAAAAATAAAAGTTGCAAAGAATTAAACTCCGAGGCACTTTAAAACGTAGAGCAAACAATGCCACACCTAGTTCAACCTCTCCACTAGTTACACAAGTTCAAAACTCGCACCATGGCATAGGAAATCAAGGACATCTCACGGCAGAATGACCACAGAACGTTCGAGCAGCTTGGCACTCCCCAGTCCCCTATTTAGCATTTTTTTTACATGAAGTAAAAGCAGCCCAGTGATATTTGGGAGGACACAGAAAGTGGCAACAGCCCTGAGAATATCTCTTCCACGTAACGGAGCTCAGGCTGCTTAAGGTGGTCTTCGTTTCTGAGTTTCACGGTGCAGAGGGAGGAGTTTGCTTGCCTTTCACCCTGACTCACCCTCTTCCTCTACCAAGAAGACACTCTAGACCTAGAGGCGACACTGGCAGTCACTTTCACTTGCTTCACACAGCCTAAAGCAACACACATTTCTACTTAAAAACAAAACAACAAAAAAATAAGTCACCTTTTTCCCCCCCAGTCAAACCAAAAGGATAAACTTCAAGTCAACCACAACCCTGTATTCAATGGCAAACATGGTGACATCTGAGTTGACTGTTGGATTCTGCCATATTCTGCCAGGTCCGCATGCTCTGTCCAACATTCATAAAATACTATTCTATACTCAACCACCTATCACTCAAACAGTGACATCAGTATACACTTTGACAGCTAGTTCTCGATATGCTCACCTCATCCTTTGCTAATGCACAGTTAGGAGTCAAATTTTCAGCAAGTTATAAAAAAAACTCCCTCCTAACTAAACCTCTACTCACATCTTTAATTATTTCCTTAGACAACTGACTAAACATGGAATCGATGGACCAGACATCTTTAAAGTCTTGATACATAGGGCCCAACTGCCCTGCAAAACCTGTCCTGTGACAGTACAGATGAGAACTCACCTATCCTTTAGAGAAAGGCCACAGGGAACCATAAAAACATCCCCACCCCTAGAAGCAGCATGACATCCTGAAGCTAGTTCCTGGCAAGAACACAGGGAAACTGTCCGAGGCTCTACGGTATCTACTCTCATTTCAACCTGACTAGATTTACAACTGCCATGAAAACAAACCTCTGGCATGTCTATGCAAGTGCTTTTGGGGGTTTAAGGAAGAGGGAGACCCACCCTGCTTGCGGACAGTGCCGTCCCATGGGCTTGGCTCCCTGACTTTGTAAAAAGCAGACTGTGGGCTGAGCGCCAGCATTCATCTCTCTCTGCTTCTGGACCATGGAACTCACTCTCACCAGCTGTCTCATGCTCCAGCCACTACTTTCCTTACCATGAAAGACTGTTCTCTAAAAAACGCAGGCCAAACTGTCCATAAGTTGCTTCTCTCAGGGACTTTGTCACAGCAACAAGAAAAGTCAGTAATGCAGACCCTATACAAATACAATCTCCTCCCATTACGCTCTGCCCCAACAGTTACAAAGTTACCACGCAGCCCAGGCTGACTGCATACAGTCTCACCTCATTCTTATCCTCACCTACAATGTAAAGCTAAAGAGCCCTATCATGGAGGCAGAAGGCCTGGCCACCAACCACTAAGGCTGTGGCACATGGAAACTCCTGTAAGGCCCAGTGTTCTGCTAGGGCACATGGGTGTGATTCTGGAACTCTAAACAACTGCCAAATGCTACCCCAGGACAGTCATTTATTATCCTTGTGAAATGCTTAATAAAGCACTTGTGTTCCTAATAAACTACGACAAGCCTTGTTCTAAGGAGGCAGTCACCACAAAGTGGTCAAATTGGAGCTTCCTGGGGCCTTCATATTCTGATAACATGGAGCACATCTATTAAGGCAATTAAATATATCTATGTTACTTATTGTAATATAGGGAATCAAACTTCTTGTACGTGCTAAGTAAAAGCTAGCCAAGTGAACTATAGCACAATCCCTTGTATCTCATTTTTTAAAATGCAATTACTGGGGATAGGAGAGATGGCTGAGAGGTTAAGAGCACAAGTTGTTCTTCCAGAGAAGCCAGGTTTGATTCCCAACACCCACATTAGGAAATCAAAACTCTTTATAATTCCAGTCCTAGGAGATCTGATGCCCTCTTCACACATGTGGTATACAGACATACACACAGGAACACCCCCCCCCCAAACACACACAAATACAAACACAGAAAAAGTTTAAAATGCAAATCCTAAGAAAAGTCAGGGCTATGACTGCATCCTCTGGAACAAAAGCCATACAGCCTCGTCTGCCTCTCAGGCAGCTCGGCACTCCAGACTCACAGGAATAGTAACAGCATTATCACACAGAACTGCTCGAAGCCTTGCTGAATGCCCCCGGAGCACTGCAGTCACACTGCAGCTGCAGAGGCTGCAGACTCTCAGGGAACCACTCACAGTCAGGGTTTCTGAAGCTCGGACTTTCCCAAGGGACAAAGGGGAACTCCCACCTTTTAGCTCCAGCACTTGCCCTACAGTGTTGTCATCACCCGCAATCAAGAAGGAGAGGGCGAACTGGATGTAGGCCAGCCGGACGTCGTGCACTCCCTGGAGGACAAAGGAGACTCACATATCACAGGCAGCCATTAGGCACAGGAACACAGAAGGTATCACACCTCTCCGCTGACTGTCGCAGCCTCCTGGTCTTGTCTCCAGGCACCAGCATATGGCCTCCTTGCTCTTTATGGGAAGCGCATTCTCTTTGCATCCCAACTCTGTAAGTCTTCTCTACTTTCCTTCTTTTTCAAGTCCTAGTCTCAATTTAAAAGTAAGGCTGAAAACAGTTATGCCCCTCCCCCCGACTTATGACATACATTTCTTTAGTTCACTCTAGGATACAACCAAAGATTCTTAGTCCTGCTGGGATCCATCCCCTCTTGCTTGTTAATGAAAACAATCTATTGTGTTTTAGAAAAGCCACAGATAATGGAGACACGATGCTGCTTTTGATGAGAGACCAACATGGTGATATCTGGTTTTCATTAAATATTGTAAATAAGTTATTAAGTCACATTAAAACCAAAGCACAGATGCTTCATGTTATGAAACCATGGACATTCCAGGATACAGCCCACAGGCATCAGCATGACCCAGGCAGGCAGGGCACAAAGGCCACGACTAGCAACCAGCACCTCTGGAGACGTTACAAGCCATTTGATCAGCTTTCCTTCTCAGTGTTGGTATGGTACATTCACATCTCAACATGAGGAAGTGACTGCTCCAGCACTGGAACATGTACTTAAGAGGCTCTCCACTAACTGAAACCTTTTCTAATTCCCAGTTATTCCAAGGTACCTTAATGCATTGCCAAGAAATACGTTAATACTATAGAAATGCCTGCCAAGACCAAAGAGTCAGCATACCTGCCTTCTAAACCATCCTGGCCCACTTAATAACAGAAGAGGTGGTAGCAGTCATAGTGATGCTGGTGAGGACAATCACAATTTTTACCAAGCATCTGCTTCCTGCATGCCAGGCACTATGGCAAACCCTCAATCACTGTCTCCTCATTCAGCTCGCATCACCAGTCTTGGGGGAACATTCACACTTTGGAAACGAGTTAGAAAAAGCCTATCATCATCATTATCATTTATCACCACCACCAGTGAAATATTGAGAGTCAGGGCCTTGGAATCCCTCGTCCCCATTTCTGTCACTTTAGATTTTCCTAGACTATGTGTACACAACAGACTTGGACTAGATCTTCCTGTGGGTTCTCCCAGAAACAAATTTCTAAGTGAAAAGGAATCTAGTTTCTACCTGTTGGGTCTCATCCTATATCCCAACCAACTTCAAATCTTAGGTTCCTACACTGTTGAAAAATGACACTGACAAATCTCAGAGACAAGGGCACCCACCCTCCCTAGGCTAGCCACTGCCACAGGCCTCCATCTCCAGCCAACCCTTCAAAGGCATCTTAGTCTCACTGAAGATGGCCTGTGCCTGCTCCTCATTCCCACCCTATGACCTCACAGGGCTGTCATCCCAGAAAGGAAACATCCTGAACTTCTTGAGCTTGTTCGGAAAAACACTTTCTAAAATAGAGCGAAACATTTGGCAAAGTTGCTCTTGGCACAGGAATTGAACAATGATTTCTTTGGCTAGATGAACAGAGGCATGGTCTGCTTTCTTCAGGAACATTAAAAGACACCTTAAAAAACAGAAATGACTCTCCATCTTCAATAACTACAGGTAAAGAAGTAAAGAAGGGGAACACCAAATGCTTGAGGTATTTGAAGACACCTGACAAACCTGTCAACCAAATACAACAAGCAAATGGACCTTGTTTGGACTAGATTTGAACCAAGAAGCACAAGAAGATCCAAAGACCAAACTGAGTGTTCGTGGCGAGAAATTATTAATGGTGACAGTGCCATAATGGCATTGTGGTTTTGTTTTTAAAAAGACATTTTTCTGCTAAGAGTGCATACTGAAATATTTATACTGAGATATGATCCTCGCCTGGGATTTGCTATAAAAGTCAACTGAAGAGGTGGGGTGTAAGTGGGTGAAGGTGGCTGACACCAGCTAAAGCTGGAACTTGGGGCTCCTTGTGCTGTTCTATTTTTAATCACTCTGATATTTTTGAAAAACCTTAATGTCTGGCTGTCACCAAGCACAACATACAGAGCACCTGAGGTAGCTTATGAGATCACACAAGGAAAGAACAAGAACATGACAGGGCCTTCCTTCTGCTTTACAGACCCCAGAAGTAAAGCAGAGAGCCCGAGGTGAGACAGCTGCTGTAGCCGAGGTTTGGGAGGGGAAGCCCTAGCTGAGCTTTTCCATAAAGTCTGGACTGTCTGGGTGGCCTGGCTACGTTAGTCTATTTTACTCAGACAGCTTGGATAACTGAAAAGGGGGACGGGGAGCATATCTGATAGATAATCACTGCAAGGCTGACTGCCGGCCAAGACCACAGAACATTGACATCTGTCGTACTATGCAAACAGCAGACACTTCATCATAAATTCATTCATGAAAGCCCTTACCCACTGATGGGAATCTACTGACATGTTAATAAAGGACAGCATCTAAGAGACACTACGACCTGACTTTCTTCCCTCAGAGACTGCCTTATTTGTAATTCTGTGAAACCTTCAACACCAGGCTAGTCTCACAGAGCCATAAAAGTTACATGGTATTATTAACCCTTCGGTCTACTTTCCAGCAATTAAGGCACACTAGGACAACTGGTTAGCATGCCGTCCATTACATAGGAGATGTACAGCAATACAGTTTTCTACCTCAGCCAGGGGGTGCTATGTGTTCACTGTGCTCTAGTCTCAGGAGGAGGTTGGCGAATTCACGCCTTGGCTGAGTACAGCACTGACCACCATTAGGAGCCAACCTGGCAAGCAGGAACATGTGCTACCAAGACCTACAGCTGGCCCACGCTGGGAGCGTAGACATCTTTGTTGTGTTTTCTTCCCCAGAAGCCTGCCAAACCCATATCACCTCAAAGGCTACCAGTGAACTTTTGCAGTGCTCCTGAAAACCAAGCATTCCTGTTCCTATTCTCTGGTAGGTTCAGCTTCTAGCCAGTAAGGATTATAACTGAGGAGCACAGATCACTTACCACCGCATCCAGGAGCCCTCTCTGGCTCAAGGTTTAAAGGTTTCTCTAAAAGGACAGAATGGGCAGAGGGCTGTGGCACTTATGGAATCACAGATGGGAGGCAGAGAAAGGGGCTCTTCTATCTACTCAGAAGAGAGGGTGCTTAGAATTATCCTCTCAGGCCAGAGCCTGAAGCCACCAAGACAACCTCGTCCTTTTCAGGTCCAGATCTTCCTCAGATGTCCTAGTTGCTCAGGTTCTGTTGAGCCACTGGCCCAATCAAAGCCAGGGTGGAGGTGGGGGAAGGCTGCTGCCCTATTCAAAGGCACAGACTTCAGAGCTGTGTGGGGACTAAGGGAGGAAAGGAGGAAAAACCACTACCAATGCCTCTCAAAGGAAGGGAATTATGGACAAACACAACACTGGGGGTCCTCACCTTTGGATCCCTCTTGGTCACTAGGGCATACAAAGCTTTTTTATTCAAATCAAAACAGCTGCACACATCCCTAGCGGCTTCAGGACCCTGGGTCACAATGGCAGCCATCAGGTTCAGGCAGGCTCGAGCCATCCTGCACAGGGATAGGAAACCAAGTTTGTCAGGAACAGGAGCAGCAGTATCAGGAAGCCCAGTGCACAACTGCCGGTACAATTTTCTACCCAAAACCAGAAAAAGAGAAGGAAGCCCAAATGCTCTTTTCTTGTATTTTTAAAAGCGTAACAAAATCTTTTAAAGGAACTAAAATGCCAAGGAGAGATTATAATACAAAGATGAAAATTATAACTATTATTTTCTGAAACAGGAGTTTTACTCTGTATGTAGCTTTGCCTGACTTGGAACTTACTATGTAGAGACCAGACTGGCCTTGAACTCAGGGATCTGCTTGCCCCTGCCTCTTGAACAGTGAGATTAAGGTGTAAACCACCATGTCCAACGCAAAAGATAAAAATTTTCTCTCTCAAGTAGTTGACAGTGACTGATGAGCCACATCTCAGTTACTGTGTATTGAGGACATATAGGGCAATTTCAACGAAGTGCCTCCAAAAGTGCCCTCTTGGCAGCCTTCTGCTCTGAGCCTGCCAGAATTGGTGGCTCCACCTCTAGCAAGGTGTTGTTCTAGACACTGGAAAAGTAAAATGCTATGGTCCTCCACACACATACTCAGGGTAAGACAACAGTCAGCACATACACGCCATTGTGTCCACTGCACAGGTATCTATATGCAGAAAACTAAAGTGGGACATGGAGACCTACACTGATCAGTGAAGACCACACAGGCCTTTCCTCTGCAAAGCACCGACGGAGACATAGCCCATGACTACCTGGGAGAACTATGGAGGCAGGACAGGCTATGTAAGGACATCTGAGTCCAGGACAGTGAAGAGAGCAGGCTACAGCACAGGGGATACTTGTGTGAGGAGTCAGCAGTGGTCCCTGCTGGTCACTGGTGAAGAAAGGCCTGAGACACGGTCCTGAAAGCATCAGTAACATTAACATACCAGCCCAAGGCTGGTCCCTGGCCACACGACAGGCCACTCACCTGTAACCAGAGGCATACAGGGATTCACAGAGGAGCTTCATGTGGTTGTTTAGTAGCTTCTTCACAATGTTGGTACCCACCACGTGAAAATGCGCAAGATCACTGGCTGTCCTCAATAATATGGCTTCGAAAACTTGAAATATTAACAGCATCTGCAAGGACAGAATTGAATATTATCAATTACCTCATTCTTGTCTTAGCTAGAATTACGAAGTTAGGCCTTCCCCAGATCCTGAGCCAAAATAACAGAGGGAAGCAGGCGAGAGTTTACCAGTCTCACCCACCAACACCCAGGCTCTGAGCTAGAAATAGACAAGAGGTTGCTTACAGTTTCACAAGATGAAAACAAAGGAGGAAACTCCATAAAGAATCAAAGTCCCTGCTCTGAGGACAATCAGTTCTACAGCCCCACAAGACTCCTGAGAACAAGCTGAGAAGCAGTTCCAATGCTCAACCTCTTTGAAAGCAAATAATTCCACATGTGCTCTGAGTCTGTCAGGGCATGTCCCTGTCAAAGCAGACGTAGTGCACTCTAAGAACCTGTAACCCAGGGCTAGAGAGAGGGCTCAGCAGTCCAAAGCACTGGCTGCTCGTACAGAATACCTGGGTTCAGTCCCCAGAACACATCCAGCAGCTCACAACTGTCTGTACTCTATCTAATTCCAGGGGATCCAATGCCTTTTCTACTCTCTGTGGCAATAAGTATGCATGTGGTACACATATGTACATACAGGCAAAACATTTGTATACATAAAGTATTTTTAAAAATCTAATTTTGCCAGCATGGTGGCACACTCCTCTAATCCCAGCACTCAGGGAGGCAGAGGCAGGCAGATCTCTGTGAGTTCGAGGCCAGCTTGGTCTACAAAGTGAGATTAGGATAAAATGAGGTCACTGTCCGAGGGAAGCTGGTACTGCCCAAGACATGGCTATCACACATTGCCAAGTGCAGTGCCACACAATATTGACTTCTCTTCATCACGCAGGTAACGAACAACCTACTTCACTCTCAGGCCGCTTCTCTCCGCTCAGGAGCTGGAAAATCTCTGCACACTCCATGGAAATCTTGATGTAGCCCTCGACAACATCATACGCGTCTTCCTGTGGCAGCTGCTTGGCGGCAGAGACAAAGGCTTCCAAAGCTGAAATAAAGAGTTAAGAGATCAGCAGGACAGAAAACATCACAGCCACGGCTACACCATGCTTTCCCTCTTCTGTGATGCTGCACACACCTCTAATGTACCCAGAGAGGCACAGAGCCCCCTGAACTGAAGGTTCATGTGAAGGTTGTAACTCCTACAAGACTCTCTGAAGACAGGCCTTCCAAGAGACAATTAAGGATGACTGAGGTCATCAGGTGGATACCCCAGTCCCAATGGATTGGTGTCCTAATAATAAGAGGGGACACCAGAAAGATCCTCTTTGAAGTGAGGTCATTCAAGGACATGGCAAGAGGCTACTGTATGCAGCCTAGGAAGAGCCTCCACACACGTGATATTGGATTCTTTCCGTCTAGAACTGCAAGAACATAAATGTTGTTTAGCCCCTAGTATGCAGTCTTTGGTTGTGGTAGCCCTTGGCTACCTTGGCAGATGAACCAACATGAACATTATAAAAACACTCAAATGAAGGCAACAGAAGAATGAAGCTGGTGGTGGGCAAACTCCGGCTACCATCTCAGCTCTAGCCCTAGAAGGACTTGACTGCAAGAGAGAGCTGTGAGCTGAAGAGAGTCCAACACATCTTCTTGGACATCAGCTCTCTGTGGCTGGCTCAAGCCACTGTCAGGTATGAGGAGCAAGGACTAACACCTTACATGTGAACAGAACAGGTAAGAACTTAAGTTTGAGCCAAACACCTGCACCCGCAGCCTAGAGTGTCGACCTACTAGTTTCACGGTGGTGGGCAAGTCTCTGAGTTCTGGGTACCTTATGGATGAAATGAGCAAGGGCAAGGGCCCTACCTAACAGGGTTTAGATAAAGTATAAAGAGGCTAATTCTGGCATCTCACACAGCACAAAGTAAACCCTTCAAAGCCAACAGCACTGAGGTGGCATGTGTTCACATTCAGGCCTCTCCCGACCTCACTTTCTGGAGAATGCAGCATCCTCCCCAGTAAGCACACTCGCTCCTTCAACACCCACAAGCAGTACTGCTGCCCTAGGCCGCTGCAGCACAGCCAAGCGGGACAGTGAGCAAGGGCCATGACATTCCACAGACTGCCCAGTGTCACAGGGGCTCTATCCGCAGGTCCCCTCAAATCACTCACAATACCTACTCCTCTTCTTCAAGACAGCATACAAGCCAAGAGATTTAGGAAGGGCCACTACGGCAGGGTGAATAGTACAATACTTTGTTGTTGTTTTGCGAGACAGGGTTTCTCTATGTAGTCTTGTCTGTGCTGGACTCACTTGGTTTTATTTTTTTGTTTGTTTTGTTTTGAGGTTTGCATGCCAGCAACTTTTATTACTTTGGTTGAGATGGGTGGGTCTTGTGAATTTGGGGGGGGTTCTGAAAATATTTATAATTAACCTGAAAAAATACTTAAATAGTACTTCTAGGCATCTTTCTGCTTGTTTTTTTTTTAATTATGTTTTTTATTTATTATTATTATTTTTTTTACAATTTATCCATTTTATATCCTGATTGGAGTCCCCTCCCTCAACTCCCAGTCCCACCATCCCTCCCTCTTTCCTCCACCCCCTTCCCTTTGTCCACTCAAAGGGGGAGTTCTCCTTTGGCATCTGCCCATAGCTTATCAAGCCTCATCAGGACTGCCTGGATCCTCTTCCTCTGTAGCCTGGCAAGGATGGACTTGCTTTGTAAACCAGATTGGCCTTGAACTCACAGAGCTCCACCTCTGCTTCCCAGAGTGCTTGGATTACAAGCGTGTGCCACTGTACCTGCCTGTACTAATACTTTCTGAAAGAAACACTTGCTAAACTCTAAAGTCCAGACAGTGCAGGGTATTCTAAGGTGGGAACTGCTCATCTATTATACCTGCCAGCTCTTCAGCCATCTTTCCATTCACTTTTTACTGAGAACTTAGCACATACACCAGACCTGGGATGTACTGGTAAATGAACTGGAAACGGTCTTCACCAACATGGTACAATGTAGAATGAATGAGGCAGGCACTCACTCCACGGATGCATATTATAGACCTACCACTTAGCTAGGTATGTACCACAAACCACCGCGAGTGCTATCAGGACAAGAGGGGAAGAAAAGGTTGGTAAGAGGTTATAACTGTAGAATGAGATTTTGACCAAGGGCTAGGAAGGTGCCTCTAAAGTAAGGTATCACCTGATAATGAAAGAATGAGTTGGGGGCAGGGGTGAGCCGGTGCTCAATGATGTGAAAAGTCCCAGGCTGGAGGGAACAGAGGGGGGGGGGGTACAGTGGGGTTGGTATTTGGATGAGTGGGGAGGATGGCCCGAGATGAAGACAAACAAGTAGGCAGGCTAGGCAATGACTTTAGCTATTAATATTGAATAGGATCGCATCAGAAGATACCACAAGAGGACTGACATAATCAGATTGGCAGATTTAAAAGATCAGTGTGACCATGAGGGGAGTAGATGGGACGAAAGACTCCAGAGACACAGGAAACCACAGAGCCAAGGCATGGACAGAAGCACCAGGAGGGCTCTGGGAGGAACATCTAGTCACTGGAACAGCAATGAAGAATGGGGATAAAAGTTAACCTTTAACACACTCATAGTCACAGTATGGCCTTTCGCATCACCAATGAAGAGGCAAACATTTTTAAGAGAATCAGATGAAAGCAAACCCCTTCTTGATCATGGATCCTGGCTCACTGATCACTACTTTAATCCTGACACTGGTCCACTGAGCACCCTCTGCCAATGGAACCCCACTGCATCAACAGCAATCTTCCCTCATGACTACATGAAAAAAAAAATCCCTAACACCCACCCACTAACCCTATCCTCACAGAAAGTCCGCGTGTAGCAACAGGGAGAGAGAAGGGAAAAAGTCAGAAATTAGAGTCAAACAAAAATCTACAAATTCCCATTCACCCACTGACTTCAGCCACATCTTTCAATCATTTCACTAAGCCTGTCACCTGTCAACTTAGCTGTCCCTTTGACACCTGCTGAGTTGGCACAGTGCTCTCTAGATGGACCCTGAAACGTAGACAGAAGCTTTTCAGTAGCCAAGCTAGCTCTTTCCTTTTGCCAGAAAGGCTCTTATCCTTATACCACTCTACATCTCTTGAAAACCCTCTTCCTTGGATATTCTGTGGACTGTAGCAGCAGCTCCCTCAGGAGGGCTCTTCCTACTCCAACACTGGTAGGACAAGCTGCAATTCTACCCTTGATTTTCCAGCATTTCAAGGTGTACTTAGTCTGGAACTCGTTAGGTAGATAATGCTGGTCCCCAACTCACAGAGATGACCTCTGCCTCCCCGTTAAGGGCTGAATTAAAAGCATGTACCATCAAGCCTTGTGATAGTTTATTTAGTAATTCAGTTAACCTGAGAGAAATATTTCACGGTCTTATTTTCACCACAGCGCTGATGTCTGAAAACGGCAAAATTCCACTATGGTTTTCCAATGTACTCTGTACGCGGTTATAAGTAGCTGTGAAGTGGGGTCACACTCTTCATCGAGTGAAATTTAAGTTACAGAATCTGGTCCATCTCAGTCAACCGATCCAATCCTAGTCACGTGATAAGGAGCTTGCCGACATGCCGCCTTTCTCCGGGTTGACAGATGGTCAGGAGTGCCTAAGGGAACGGCTGACAGCCCAAGCAAGCTGCCTCACTGGACAGCTGACTCCTAGGCTGACTCCCAGCCGGGGGCTCGGTAAACGCTTGGTGTGTGAACGAGGACCCTTCCTTTACTTCCCTAGCAACCACAACGGAGAGGTTTTGGAGGTGTGTAGGGTCGCTGCCCCGAAGAGAAACCTTGAGGCCGCGTAAGCACGGACATGCAGTGCTGGGGACCCTGCACGCTCTGTCTCCGGGTCTCCCCGAAAGCCGGAGGCGTGGCTCTGACTGCCCGCCCGGAAGCCGCGGGCGGAGGGCAGGCTGGTGGCGGTTCCCCGCCGGCCTCACTCACCAGGCCCTGGGCCCTGCGCATCCCTCAGCTGGGTCTTGAATTGCACGCCCGTGAGCTCCTGCACGCGCGTTCGCTTGGCTGTGACCGCGGGGGACGCCGCGCCGCCCGGCCCCTTGGAGGCCTTCCTCTTGAGGAGCCCCATGGCCCAAATCCCCGCCGCAGAACACCGGCACGCTCCGGAAAAACCCACGCGACCGGAAACGCAGCGCTGGCGGCAAGGAAGGGGCGGGACTGGAGGAAAAGGCGGAGCCTGAGAGGGGCGCCAGTGAAAGAGACCGTCTGCGGCAGGAGAGAGGGCGGAAAGGGCGGGGCCTGCTCGAGGGGGCGTGGGGTAGGCGGGAAAAACACCTGGAGGGCGGGGCTAAGAGAGTCCTCACTCGCTCCAACTTTTAGTCCCAGTTGAGCTCCGCCTGCGGTAAAAAACCGCACACGCCAAGACACACACCCCCTTAGCTGTGGCAGGTCTAGGGCAGATCAAACCGCTTCCCCTGTTAAGGTCCTTGAGCGGGAAGAACTGCCAGACTCTTCCTGAAGGCCACCTCCCCGACGCCCTTTAAGAGCACGAAGAGCTCAGGTTTTGTTGTTGTTTTGTTTTTTAAATCTCTGGGCATCTTGATGACGTTCCTTAAAGAACTCCATGGGATTGATACTTTGTAGGTTCAAACCTTTGCGTGTAGGCCGTGCGATTCACGAGGGCCTGACGTTAGGGGGACTGGTTCGGGAATGTGGATTGGGACTTTGCAGCTGCCGCTAACCCTGAGTCCTAGTTTTTGTCACAACCCTAGCCAGATGGGCTGGGCTGGTAGGATGTCACTTCAAATTACCCCCATCCAAACTTCCCCCAAACTTCCATGCACTCTTTTTGTGGTGCTGAATGCGACAGGAGATCAAAGAAAGTAAACATTATGAAAACCTCCTTGGACAGCGTCCACATCTCAGCTCCAGGCTCTCCCCAGTCCTGGGCCGGAGAACAGCAAGTAATGTAATGTTGAAAGAACTGCCTTGGGGGGGGGGGGGACAGGGTGTATAAGGTCTTTTGTTTGTTGTAAGCTGTTGATTTACAGGCTGCATAAAATGATCTGGCATAATGTGGGAACGTAAAAACAGGCAGCTGCATTAAAAAAAAAAAAAAAAAAAAAAAAAAAGCAGATCTTATCAATACCTGGGTACGTATTTAAAATTCCAAACTAGCCTGTTAGTTGGGTAATTTGATGGTTTCTGAAATTCTTTGTCATATTCTTCTAATCTGATGAGACACTGTTTTGGAAGTAAATATCTTTTAAGCATCCTAGAATGTGGCCCCTGTTGCTACTATGATCTCAGAGCCCCTAACAGATAAAAACACTTGCCTTTGCCTCTGAGCCTGTACCCTACAAAGACCTCTACAACCTGTGGGAATCCCTAGGTCATAGGCCTGTCAGAAATAAAGATTACTGAAGCCATGTAATAATATTATGAGAAGAGGATAAAGACAGACTTGTGAGCAATTGTCCAATTGGTCCTCCTCACTGACTAGCGTTCATTGACACCCACCACGACCCACAACAAAGGGCAGCAGGAAGTAAGAAGCAGTCAAAATCCATGAGTTTGGCTGGGGGGAATTTATCATCTCTCTGTACTGGTGTATGTTATAAAGAATTAGTAACTGGTCACGGTGGTGCACACCTGTAATCGGAATACTCAGGGAAGCAGAGGCAGGTGGATCTCTGTGAGTTCGAGGCCAGCCTGGTCTATAAAGTGAGTCCAGGTCAGCCTAGGCTACACAGAGATTCTCTGTCCTGAAACAACCCCGCCTCCCCAAAAAAGAGAGAATTAGAGAGAGGGGCTGGTAAAATGACAACTTCAGTTCAATCTTCAGAAGCCACATAATGGAAGGAGAGACGCTCTACTCACAAATTGTATTCTGGCCTATACATGCATGCTGTGGCAAGTGACACACACACACACACACACACACACACACACACACACACAAGAATCAGCAAGACTGGGGAACTTACCGGAGCACCCTAGCCCCAATTACAAAGAGGTGACTTGTGTCCATCCTAGCCTTAGCTAACAATGTACCCGGTGGTGAGCAAGGACTTAGAATACTACTGTATGTTTGAGATTGGCTCAGAGCAATTCTCTAAATCGCTAATGTCAGGTCTTTAACACCTTATCCAATACCAAGCTTACCAGCCAAGGGTGAGTTAGCTTTCCACGAAAAGCCCTGTGTTATTTGTCCCTGTGTTAATTACTTTTCTGGTGACAGTGACTGAATAAATATCTGGCAGAAGCAAGGGAAGAAGAATTTATTTTGGCTAAGAGCTTCAAAGAATGTCAGTCCATTCTGGCAGGGAGGGCTCGGTGTCTGGGGCAGCTCAGCAGTGGAGGTGGGAACTTGCTGCACAGCTTTTTTGTACATTGGAAGATTGGGAAACGAAAAGCTTGGACCACACCCAGAAGTGGATGCCACCTTCAGGGCCCACTCCTAGCCTCGCTCCTGCTACCTGTGCTACAACCCCAAAGGCTGTACCTCCCACATAGGGCCAGCAGCTGGGGACCAAATGCTCAGATACAGAAAGAGGGTGTATTTCATCAAACCATAACAGTTACCAGCTTTATTCCGTTCTGTTGGAGCTGAGTATCACCATTCTAGGACATTCAGAGCCTTTGGGACTTCAGCTGGACCTTTCTTTAGTGGCTCAAACTTTCTCTTCTTGGGCTCTGCTTGTCCATTCTTTACTCTGTCTTTGTACCATCCTGTTTTGTTTCATTCTTTTGCCTTTATTACCTGTTGGTGATATTCTTTGTTAATGTGCACTAAACATAATGGCACAAAGTTCATGGTTTCATTTCCATTGTCTAGAGCGCATATTGGGCCAATAAATATTTGTTTTTATAAATATCTATATGAATATGAATGAATGAATGAATGAATGCATAAACCTGACTTTTTTCCCTTGGTTTAAATTTAAGTTCTGGTAAAAGGAGCTGCTGAGTCAGAATCCATATCAAGTTCATATTAAGCTATGTTTGTCACAGATGTGGAACGTGAGCAGTATAGCACCACCATCCACGGAGAATGTTTTCACGGTTGTATCACTGTTGTTACTGTTTCGAAGAACAGGGACTCAAGCGCAGAGGCTCGAGCAGGTTGGGCCATGTTTCTACCAGCTGATCTACACCCACAGCCTGAGATGGTCGTTTGAACTGTGCTCTTTCACCTGGGTAAAAGCTCACTGGTGGAGTGAGAGTCTAGGAATCAGAGGTGTGGGATCCCTTTCTTTGTTTTTATTCAAGTTCTAATCTCTTCAGTTGCTATGTGTGTTAGTGCAGTACCTACTGAAATCAAGACAGTTTAATAGTGGCATGATGAGCAAAGAGAACACTGTTATGTCAGTGACACTAGCCATGAACTCCAGGGGAGAACACAGTGTGCCTGAGCTAGAAAAGGGAAGCAAGCATCAGGAGACTCAATTCAAGTCCACAAAATGACAACGTCCACCACCAGCAGCCATGGGCGTTGCTTTTTAATAATCAACCATAACGAACTCAGGGAAGTATAACACAGCTCACTTACCCTACTCAAGGGCCACTACGGATGTAACACATCTGATAAGTTCAGTGAAAAGAAACAGTTCACAACAAGAGTCCAAATAACCAAGAATCCAAGATGAGAAGTTAAAAGGCCACAGGACAATTAAATGAATTATTTGAGCAAGTGAGTACCTCGTGGTCATAAACTCCAGGCTATCTCATCACAGAAAAAAAGAGACAAAGCAGAAACATTGAGCTTGTCAAGTTTTTTTCTTCTCTGAGGAAGAAAATTGAGGAAGGGTAGAAAATATTCCTGTTATTCAGTGTAGAATAAAATGGCTATGTGAAGCTAGACTTGACTTTAACTACTTATAGTGTAGGTGAAGTTTGTCTTCTAAGATTCCCCCAAATGTTGTCGACCTGTTGTTGCCTGTTTTCTGGTGCAGTGATAAAACATTCCGAACAAAAAGCAACTTAAAAGGAAAAGGAGTTCATTTGGCTTGCACTTGCAGGTCTCAGTTCATTACCGAGGGAGGCAAAGGCAAAGAACTTGAAGCCTAAGCCATGGAGGATGGCCTCTGCTGGCTCCATCCCAGCCTCATGATAACGTAGCATTGCTATAGAGCCCAGGGCCACCTTCCTAGAGATGATGCCACCCACAGAAGGCTGGGCCATCCTACATCAATTAATGATGAGGACGATTCCCCACACACCTGCCACAGGCCAATCTGATCTGGGCAATTTCTCAACTGAGAGTTTCTTCTCAGCTGACTCTAGGCTGTGTCAAGTTGACAATTAAAGCTAGGGCTCTACTGACCCACTCCTCTCTGCCCAGACACAACATCTTCCTGATGCCCTGATCATCTGCAGCTGAACTGACACAGCTTCGTCAGAACAGATCTCCCTGGGGTACGTCTATGCCTGGACTTAGTCCTATCTCCACCTCCCTTCCACTGCGGAGCCTTCACTGTTCTTCTCTCTTGCCGTATAAGAGTTCTGTGGCTAACTATCAGAAAATAAGGACATTTGGTATGTTCGTTGTCAGGTATTGGAGAACAGCAACACTTTGAAGCCCATCCCATGATTATTCTTATACTTTAAAAGAAAGCATTTGGAGTGCACTACCCCAGTGAATTTTAGCTGAATGTGTTTTACACTGTATCAGTAGGGGAGGTATACATGAGAAAGAGGACCCAAGTCTTGGGCAAAGAAGAAAAACAACTTCAGAACATTGACATCAATCTACCTTAATTCTGGCCACATGTTACATTTTTACAGACTTGAGACATTTCAAAGATGGACTTTTAACTCCATTCAGAAAGCACACATGTTATCTGTGCTGTTATCTTAACTGTTAGACAGAAGTCTTAAAAATATGAAGAACAGATAAATAGCAGTGTTTTAAAGTTAATAGATTGTAAGAAAATTCTTTTACCCACAGAGAATACATGTTGTTTTTAAGTGTACAAGGAATGGTCATAAAAGTTGACCATTTTAGGCCACAGAGGAGGCTTCGTAAATTCCAGAACACCCACATCATAACAGGCCATGTTCTCTGACCATTGCCCAATAAAATCAAACCTTGATAGTAAGAGGTATTTTTTTAAATCCCATTAGTCTTGGATGAGGGATACAATTTCTACTGAGTCATCTTTGAA